TCACAATAGTAGCCCAACAAGTAAATATGAAAGAAGTGATAGAATCAGGAAATCACTACTGAGCAGTCCCCAAGAAAATACAACTACTCGTCCACAGATGTAAAACTCGTGCCCTGAATTTCATGAGAAACATTTATCTTTCCACAAACATTTATTAATTACAAGGAGAAAAACAGTAACTTCACGGTGGAAAGACCTGGCACACTGCAGTTACCCAAGTGGATCAGAGTTAAGTCACCACTTTCTGTGTGGTAGTACTGAGCCAATATTGGTTCACCTATTGGGACAAATGCACCTCTGTCATATGAGGTGCTGATAATAGGGAGACTGAGGAGAGACTGGCAAGATATATGGGAAGGGAACTCTGTCCATTCTGCTCAGTGTTTCTATAAACCTAAAGCTAAAAAATGAAGTCTAGTAATTTAAAAAATACTGTGTCATGACACACGAATATGCGTGCACTGGAAATGTGTCATGCAGTTTTGCTAAAACACAGCCACACTTTCTCACGCACATAATCCCTGTGGCTGCTCTTCGGCTGGTACCTCCGGGTTGGTATTTGCAGCAGAGAACATATGGCTCACAGACTAACACGGGACACTGGCAGCCGGTAGGCGCCATCGCCCAGCCTGGAGGCAGGCCGCACAAGGACCCCAGTGCGAGGGACAGGCATGGCCTGTTGGGTGAGTTTCAGGAACGTCACTGCAGTTGGTGGCCTTTGTGTTGTAAAGCTGTGATCTCTTGGAAAGGGAGGAGATGATTCGCTGCTGAGCAGGTGGGGCGTCCCTAACCTATTTGAAGAGAACTTGGGTTTTCAGAACTTTTTTGAATAGTATATTCCCTGATTATAATAGGAATGTACTCTAGGTGTGGGGATATTGGGAAATCCAGGCAAGTGTAAAAAAGCTAAAAACCACTTGAAATGTTACCACCCAGAGATGACATAGAACAACATGAAGGGTGTGGAGATTGTCATATAATTGTGCCTCCACCTCCTGGGAGTGGTCCCCGCCTGGGCGTGCCCTGGAGTCTTCCATCAGCGCTGGCACAGAGGGGTGCTGGCCCAGGCAGACTGGGCTGGGGTGCTGCTGCGGGCAAGCCCTTCTCAGGTGTCAGCGTGATGAGAATGTCTGCAACTGTGTGTCCGCAGCATCATCTTAATACCGCGAGTAAGGGATTTTCTCATTGTCAGAAACTTAGTCTGTAATATATATCTGTGTGTGTGTGTGTGTGTGTGTGTGTGTGTGTGTGTGTTTTAATGGGGGAAAGTCTAAGAGAATATACACGTTCAGTAAGAAGAGGAGACAATAGCAGTGTCTCCTGAAAGTGAACCCAGAATCAAATGACGATTTTAATGTCTTCCTTATGTTCTGTGTGATCTCAGGAAGGCAGATTTTTGAGACGGACTTCTGTGAATGGCTTCTTTTCTGCCTTGTACATACCTGTATTTTTAAAGTCATTGTGCTCCTTAAAGTAACCACAGCTGATATTTTGTAGCTGCACGTGGGCTTTCACACCCCGATCAAGTTACCTCACGGCGTCCAGCAGGCGTTTGCCCGTGTCACCAGAGTTCGGTGACATCCGCTCTTTCACGTGGGGCTCTGTGACTTGCTCCCATCCCTCCGTCACTGTCGGTGTTGATCCCGACCCTCACGGCACAGTGCTGCGGCGGGTCCCTGTGCCCAGGTCCTCTCATCTGCCTCTGGTTCCTCTTGGGTGTTAGTCTTAAAAGCACAGTCACCAAGCCCGAAGGCGTAAATTTACAAGGCTCTCTCTCATTCCACATGAAAAGACTGGTTTTAAGAATTTCTGCTCATTAATTACTATCAAATAAGCTCTTCATAGTAAAATCGGGCTACAGATAGCTGTGGTTTTCTTCTTTATTTTTAAAGTGATCTTTAGTTCTATTCTTAGAAGTATTTATGAATTATTAATGACAAATTTTATATATGAACATAAAAACCATGCTTCCCCGCCCTGGCTGGTGTAGCTCAGTGGATTGAGCGCAGGCCTGTGAACCAGAGGATCACGTTCGATTCCCAGCCAGGGGCCTGGGTTGCAGGCCAGTTCCCTGCAGGCTATTTCCCAGCAGGGGAAGCACTAGAGGCACCCCATTGATGTTTCTCTCCCTCTCTCCTTCCCCTTTAAATAGATAAATAAATAAAAACTTAAATATATATATATATTTTTAAAAAACCACAACCATGCTTCCCCCAAAAAATTTTCAAAATAATTTTAAAGGTAACTTAATCATGTTAAACAAAATTTTAAGAATGCAGAAAAGAGATTTTGTCAGCTCTCACTCCCTCTCTTTCCTATGAACTTTACATACTTGGAGTAAAAGTGTGTGTAGTGTTCACATCCTGCTCGTTTGATGTAACACTCCATTGTGAGTATTTCTTCCGTGTTGCTATGGAGTCTTCGTAACTGCGATTTTTAATGCCTCCAAATGACTGCACCGACTTCACATACCATAACCGACACAGCCGTCCCTCTGCTGAACACTGAGGTTATTTACACGTTTTCACTTGTACAGCACTGTGGTCCAGGTGGACCGTTTCCTCAGGTTAAAGGCCCCAGAGAGGATCGACTGGGTCTAAATTTAAGTTTTCATTCCTTCCGAGTTTTCACTCATTCATACCGGCCTGTCGTCTAGGTCGGTCTTAATTATTGAAATGTGTTCCGACGACCACATGATATTCAGTGTGTTCCCATGGGCAGGGCGCCCAGTAGGTGCTGTGGTGTCCTTAGGAACCAAAGGGGCCGGGGCACTGTCCCGTCTGTGCGGGCCGCTCGGGTCTGTGGACGTTTCAGACAGAACGACACTTTCCTTGCGTGCCCGGCTGGTCCTCCAGTGGACGTGCTCGGCCGCCACTCACGGGAGCCTTCTGCTCCACAGCCTTTGCCAACAAGGAAAGAAAATACACAGAGGCAGGGAGGTAATCGTGTTACCCCCTCCTTTTTTTCCTCTTTCTGTTTCCTTCTGTGAGAATATCATCAAGTCAGGATGGAAATGCATTTATGGTGCCTCCTTGCTGCTGAAGCGAACTCCAGCGACTTCCCTGGGAGATGCACGGTGGACAAAGTCCACAAACGCTTCTTTGTTGGCCGTGGCCGTGCGGTTTGGCCCCCAGAGTTATCTCAGATGCACAAATAAATCTGGCGGCCCCCAGTTGTCTCCGGTTCAGCCTCGCCCGCTCCCCTGTCCGCCTCCCTCCTCGCAGTTTCCTCTTGGCCTTCAGCGGCACCAGCCCAGCCTTCGCATCAATATGCCCTGTTAACTGCTGCCAAACCTCCGGCAGTTTTGTGCATATGTTCGCCTAATCATTTCTCTTTGTTCTGGGAGCCTGCGTTTAGTCTCTGAGCATCCCCCGCCCTTGCCCCCAGTTTGGCCATGGCCGTCGCTGCGTGTCGCACGCGACTGTCTACTTGCTGCCTGTTTAATGAACATCCTGGGTTGCCTGCCCCAGTGGGAGCCTCCGCGGTCCGCTCCCAACCTTCTAAATCACGTCCCTTCCACAGGCATTCCTGAGCCCCTCCCGGAGAGCCCTCGGCCTTGACCAGGTGAAGGGCCGCAGGACCCTCCCGGCACGGACAAAGCTTCCTTCTCAGGCCTCTCTGCTGGTGCAGCACAAGAGAAGGACACTTTCTTCTTTGGAGCCGGACGGTGTCTCGGCCTGTCGGTCTCAATGGGTCATTCATGGTGTCCAAGAGAAATACCTCCGGAGCTGTATTTCATGGGCAATGGAAGGGGGCCTGGCCTGCGGGTGCGGGCAGCCTTCTCGCTGGGAGTGCCCTGTGCCCAGGGCCTGGCCGGCCCCTGCCCAACAGGCCAGCTCATCTCAGCAAGAAAAGGGGTCTCCGGGCGCCTCCTCCCCGGGCCTGCACACGCTGCACACAGCTGTGCGAGCCAGGGCACGCAGATGGTGTGTGGTTTTTCTCTGCTCTGAAGGACTTTTCTTCTCTCACCATTCTCGCAGTCCCACCCCGTTGCCTGAGCCCAGAGGAGAGGACGAAGAGCTAGCTACTCAGGGCGTGGACTTTCTGTACAGCCCTTCCTCCTTGGCACGGGAGTACTGGGGGTCCCTGGCAACTGTGATGGGGACCTGTGTTTATGCAGAACACCAGCTCTCCCTCATCTGCACCCTTGCCTCTTTCCACCCCCAGAAAGTATTTCAAAGAGGCCCACGCAGCTGCCCTGGCGGTGGGCAAACCTGGGTTTTGCTGTGTTTAACAAATCCTACCACGCACTCTGCCGCTCGGTGTCTGGTCAGCAGCTCCCAGGAGTGCAGTGGAGAAAGCGTCTGCACAGGCAGCTGGCACGTGCGGAGTGTGGCCGGGAGGCAGCTCACCGAGGGAGGGTAACCCTTTCCTTTTCAGAAAGCAAGTGGCCGGCGCCTCGTTTGGTAGGGATGCAGTGCATGTTTCTACCTATCCCCCGAAGGGAAGTTTGTATTCTTTTAAATGAAACCATTTTAAAAGCAGAACTCAAGCCTAAAATGATCCAAGGTTTTCCCAAGTTTTCAGAAGGTGTAGATTTATTTACTATAGTTAAAACATAATTAGTTCTCAGGGGACAGTGTATCTTTTAAACGGCTTTATTGCCACCATATTGGTTTTCTGAATAATCAGAAACTTCTGTTATGATTATGTTCTGGGGTTCCACCAGAAACGCACTGTAAGTAGAAACAAATGTCAGGAATTGTTAGTTGTCACTCGAAGGAGGGACACCACATCAGAAAGACCTTGATGGGGCACATTCTGGAGGAACAGCGCCGAACAGCATCCTAGGTAAACTGGGTAGCAGCTCACGGGGCAGGTGCACGTGCCCCCCCCCACCTCAGTCTCCTGGGCTGGGAGTGGGGGTGGTCCCTGGAGAGCCGGGAGGTGGCCTTTTCCACCCGCAGACTCACTAAGGAGTGTAAACAATGCCCCCCACCTTGAAGGACCTCCTGCCCGAGTCCCCGTTCTGGCTGACCAGTCTTTCCCACCATTTGCAGGTTGATGTTTGAGATGCCGCAGGAAATGGGTTTAATCGCCATCGCAGTCCGCCAGACACAAGGCAAAGGTCAGTCATCTTTTGTTATCGTTTGGGTTGCGTCTGTTTTCTAAAACCCTGACTCTCGTGACCCAAGAGCCGATTGATGGAGTGTGCCAATCCTCGGGTAACTCCAGGTAGAAGCCGTTTGTTTTCACGCCCCGCCCACCCCACAGGCCGAAAGGGGGAGGAGGGATGAAACTGATTGGAGATTGAGCCTTTACAGAATTAAAGCATCCTCCGAAACTGAGATGTCACTTACTCACCTGACATCTGCTTGTGCTTGTGGTGGTTTTCACACTTGGTTACCTACATCTTGTAAATTTTACTTTCTGATACAGAATAGGCTTTGTAGTTGGTGACTCATAACTATGTTATAGAGACACGTATAGTCCCCCAGGTTCCTTGTGAGGGGCTGTCTGTGTCACTCCTGAGGGTCACACAGAGGGGCCTCTCATCTGCCAGCCCCTACCCCAGCTGGCACTGCAATTTGCATGCAGTGGGGTGCAAGTGGTGCCCCTTCACCCAGTGACCCAGGAAGCAGAGGGCTGCTCAGAGCTTCCGCCACCTGCTGACCCTGGGGGCAAGAGCCCACATCCTCCCAGAATTCCCTGTACCGAGGGCAGATTCTGGGGTCGGTGGTCATGCGGGAGGCAAGCAGCCCCTGGCCCTCCCCACCCCCAGCTGGCACCGGGCTGACCCCCGAGTGCCGGAACTGACGGACTCGTCTGCCGTTCTCAGAAGGAGTAAAGGAGCGAGGAATCCAGTTCTCTGCTTCTTTCTCTTAAACATTCCTTTGAACATGAAGAGAAAAAACTTCACTTTACCAAAAGCTGTGTGATGCAATATGGTGGTTAAAAAAGAGAAAAATTTTGATTAGCTGTGTCTCCTGTTTTGATCACTTTATTGTCCTGACTTCTGTTTTAAGAGAAATAACAACTCGGAGCGTTAGGTTCAGGGATCACGATTTACATTCAGCTTCCTTTTTTTAAATAACAGTGAGATACGATTCACACACTAGGCCATTCTCCCATTCAAAGCGTACAGTTGTGTGGTTTTTAACCCATTCACAGGGCTCTGTGACCGTGAGCACAATAAGAACCATTTCTAAAAAGGGGCTTCCAGGAGCTCTCCTGGACTAGCGCCAATTTGGGCTCTCATCTCCGTCTCCATTCCGCCTGCGTTAAATTGCCATGTGGTGAGAACTCGTTTGAGAGTGATGTCCTGATGCTGTGAGAACTCCAACCACCCAGGCATAAACGAGAGACTTGTTCAGCAGCAGAGCTTCGGATGTTAAAAAGCTGCTCTGTTCCTGAGTGAACCCCAGAACATCCACACGGCTTCGCCAGCCCTGGTTTATTCCCAGGGGACGCGTCTTCAGCCTGTGGCTCTGAATCCTTGGGCCCGTTGCTTGGCACAGGGTGCACCTGAGTCCGTTCGCGTGGCACAGTGGCCAGCTTCCCGGTGGGGCCTGTCTTCCAGGGCGAGGAAGGAACGCATGGCTGAGCCCCGTGGGATGCGCTCTTTCCACACTGCTGGTCTGCGTCCCGCTGAGGTCCCCCCTGGGGCAGAGGATCCCGTTCGTCCAGCACCTGATGTCCCTGGCTGTGGTGGAGGCGGTCAGGTCCATCCCCGGGTACCAGGTACGTGCCGTCCCCTCCCGCTGCGTCCCGCTTGGCATGCAGACGCTGGCTCGGGGTGCCTGGTGCAGGCATCTGCCTGGACACCGGGTGCCGAGCCCGGGCCCACTCTCCGCAGAGCCGGCGGCAGCGTTCAGTTTCAGCAGCACCGCCGGTCCTGTGGCTGCCCCGCCCACCAGGGTGCGCTCCTCCCTGGATTCCCACTCTGTCCTCTTGTCAAGCAGCCGGGTGAGGGCGACATTTTTTAAAAAATCAAAACACTGGACTGGATGGGGCTAATTCTCTCTGTTTTCTGGTGAAAAGGCTTATTTAGAGACCCCCAGAACATTTCTCAGTTCCTGCCCTCATGACCACGGCCTGCACTCAGCAGGGCTGGGCTGGGCTGCGGTGCTGCGAGTTCAGGTGCAGGTTCATCCGGGCCTCTCCGTCCCCGGCTGCAGGGACAGACTCGCCCGCCAGTCCTGTCAATCCTGTCGGGCCTGTGGCGTCGGTCATTGAGACAGGGAGGCGGCAGCGACCAACACCGTGACCGAAAACCTTTCCTCTGGTGCCTGGCCTCCACCGGCCATATCCCCCCTCTCTGCTTTTCCAGGAGGAGTTTCCTTTGGCCATAAAGGTGGGGGGGGGGCTGCCTTCTTCCCACCCGTAGCTCTTCTTTCTGTCAGGCCAGAGATGTGCATCGTGTTGATGCTGAGGCAAGACGCTGAGCTCGGGACTCAGAGGAGGCCCCTTGTCCGAGTGTGACGCAGGAGCAGGGCCCTCCTCGGCCCTCAAGTCCCCTCCACAGTAGCAGGGGGTGTGGTCTGGCTCGAGCCCCCAGCAGGCACACGGAAACAGGACAGTTGTCACCAGCACCCGGCGTCCTTGCCTCTGACGGGCTTTGGTGCCCCAGGCTGTCGCACACCTGCGTGGGCTCCACCTGCAGCCCCGACCAAGTGTCGTGTTGTCTGGAAGGAAGCAAAGGATGAGGTTCTGTCGTGGGGAGAAAAGGTGTTTTAACCCTGGCGGCAGGTTCATTAGTCTTAGGGAAAGAAGTGAAATGCTGAGCCTAGATCACATTAGCTTCTTCAGAGTTTTGATTTTGACCTTGTAGCCTCACTTGTTAACTTGGTGAGCTTTCCTTGCCGGCTGAGTGAGAAGGCGGTGCCAGGCGCTGGGCGCTGGGCAGCTTGCCCTCAGCAGCTCACGGTTGGGGAGGGGTCTCCATTGTCCTAAAGACACGGCCACCCAGGTCCAGGTCCTGTTTGAGCAGTTGTCCGACCCCCTAGATGATGGGCCTTCTGTTTGGATTGGCATTTAGTTCTGGCAAGACCCATTATTCACTTGCACAGTCCAGTCCAGAATGGTTCAGGTTCCCCCATCGTTAGTTTGTCCACGTCCTTCACAGCAGCCCCAGTCTGTCCCTGGCCAGACGTCACCGTCAGCACACACACCATGCCCAGTCTCTCTGGACAGGAGGCGGCATCACCGCGATGCTCACCGTTCCTTCCAGACCCCTTCATGCTGCTGCTCTTCAGACCGCCCTTGGGGTCCCCACAGGCTCCTGCAGCCCTGCCCCCAGCCCCACTTGTGCTCCCGCTCTGGGGGTGCCGATTGTCTACAACCTACATTGGCCTTCCTGAAACACCCGTGGCACTTCCAGTGTCTGAGCCTCTTGTATGGCGTCTCCAAGGATCGCTCCGACCCAGAATCGTTTGGGCTCCTGGTCTGTGTCCCACAGAGCAACCAGCCCCCTGAATGCAGGGCTGGAGCTGGCTGTTCGCTTTACACTCGAGGCCCATGACAGCCATTTGAATGGATGGCCGAGACCTCAAACAATGAGCATGGGCGGCCCTCCTCTTCATCATGGAGTGGCTGTCACTGCTCATCTGTGTGACCACCCAACTGAGCCAGTCTGAATGTGGGGAGTCACACAGGCGCCCGAGAGCAGGGCCCGTGCAGAAGCGGGTGCCGTCCCCAGAGGGCAGGGCTGCTCTGCACTTCCTCAGGGGGCCGTTCTCTGCCCAGCGGTCATGGGAGGCAAGTTGCCACTGACACGGCCAGTGGCAGTGTGTCATGTGGACACCACAACCAGTGTCCACATGACACATTTGCTACACCAGCATTTCTCCACCTTGTCACTGTGGACACTGGGGCCCCCACATCTTGGTTGGGGACCGTCCTGTGCACCGTAGGATGTGGAGCAGCGTGTCTGGCCTCTACATGTGACAGTATGTGACAGTAGGACTCCCTGAGGCTGTGACAATCAGAAGCGCCTCCCCATAGTGGCCAAGGTACCCTGGAGCAGAATGCCTCTGGTCCCCTCCACTGAGAACCCGATTCTAGACAGAAAAGAAGCAGCAAGCTCCTCCGTTATGGGGGGTGGTGAACACCCCACGTTTTATTTACACTTTTGTTCTTTTGTGCTCCTGTCTTTCTTCTCTTAGCCTAGAACGTTCTACCAGGCCAGGTGAGCTCGGACAAAAACAGAACAGAACCGTATTCTGAAGGCCTGGTGGGAGGGGGGACGGAGTTTGAGGCAATGGGCTTCAAGGGGGGTCGGGGGGACCAAGGAGTCTGTGTGGTTTTGTCTGTAAAGTAAAAGACACAGTTTTCCTTTTCACCAGTAACTTTATTGATTTGGGTATTTTGAGTATGTCAGCTGTCTCCCTCATGGTATAATGTCCATTGTTCTCAATTAATATCTCAACTGGATCACTATCAACTTCATTCTCCTGGTCTACTGACCATGGAGCATCGTCCTATGAGAAGTCTCCAGCACAAAACTTCACAAACCACTTTTTTTAAAGATTTTATTTATTTATCTTTAGAGGGGAAGGGAAGGAGAGAGGGAGAGAAATATCAATGTATGGTTATCTCTCGTGCGTCCCCTGCTGGGAGTGGCCTGCAACCCAGGCACGTGCCCTGATTGGGACAGAAACCGCTTTTGACACGTTTGATATTCATTGTACAAGTCTTTTTTATTTTTGCATTTCAGTTGCATTTTTACCTTTCTTGAAATAATATAGCATCATATGCTGAAAATGTTGTGTATTTTTTCCACCTTCAGCATTAAAATGCCTGCATAAAAAATTCACCAATTTTGATAAGTTTTCTTAAATGCATGCTGATATAACAGCTGTCACAATACAATCTAACAAAATTTATCTCGAATGAAGTTAAAGACAACTAAGTGCTACTAGGGCCATCGTACAGAAAAAAACCAAGCAAACTTTCTGGCCAGACCAATAATATGGAGCACCCAGGCTTGGTGTCAGAAAGTCCTGGGTTTCAAGCCCAGTCCTGCCATATCCTAGTGATGTGACCTCAGGAAGCCCTTGCAGTCAGTCCCTTTGTGCTTCAGTTTCCTCCTCTGTTCAGCAGGGTGACACTCCAGCCAGCCTAGGGAGTTGGTAGAGGTGATGCATGACTGGTGCTGCGATGCTGGGGCTCGGTGCTGGGGCTGCCCCCAGGGCACTGGGAGGCCGTCTGTTACTCTAGGGTTTCCGTCACCCGGGGACTGGTTTGTTGTACAAGGGGCACAGGCAGAGTTGTGCAGGGCTCACCTTCAGGACCAGCCGTTCAGGACCAGCTGGCCTTCTTCAGGGCCTTCTCTGGTGCTCCGTGAGGTAGGCTCCTCCTCGGAGCCCTCACAGAGTCCTGCCCGCCTTTTATAACCCTGGTTAGTTGAGGGCCAGCATGGGCAGCCTTGAGCCCAAGTATTGTTTTCTCCCTGCCCCCGGCCCTGCGCCTGATGGGTGCCCCAGGCTGGTGGGTGCCCCTGAGATACTGCACTTAGTCCAGCAGACAGGCATGTTCAGAAGGTGTTTCTGATGATGGCAAACAGCCATGGGGGTGGGGAGCATGATGGGATCGGAGCCAGAGAGACTGTTTAGGTCAGTCCCCTTCAGCCCCAAGGGGTGCCGAGACACCGGTTGTCCCAGAGACATGGTTCGAATTCTGAGAAAGACAAGGGGGTGAGCGCCTGTGTTTGAGAGTATTCCGTTCGTCTCCTTTCAGCTGGATGACCCCAGCTGGTCCCTCTGGGTCTGGTGATTGCTGGACTCATTAACATGCAGGTTTTCCTTTAGGATATCAATCTACGGGTGAAGTGGCCCAATGATATTTATTACAGTGACCTCATGAAGCTGGGTGGAGTTCTGGTCAACTCAACGCTTATGGGAGAAACCTTCTACATACTTATTGGTAAGTTTCTAAAGCCTTTGTGCCCCCCCACCCCCACACTTTTACACTAATAAAAAGAAACATGTTTACACATGGCCGTGTTGAGGGGGATGCGTTGTCCTACCAATCACTTTCGCTCCGGGTCTAGCCGTTGCAGAAGACAGTGTGTGTGCAGAACCAGCGGCTGGGTTGGGTGTGCGTCCAGGGGCGCTCGCCCCTGGCTGTGGCCGTGGCAACTGAATGGGCGTCATATCCGATGCCTTCGCTTACGCCTTTCCACACTCCTGCTTCTGTTGAGTCAGAAAACAACCCACGGTGAGATACCACCTCATACCTGTCAGAAGGGCTACTCTCGAAAAGACAAGAAACAAGTGCTGGCGAGGATGTGGAGAAAAGGGAGCCCCCGTGCACTGCTGGTGGGAATGCAGGCTGGTGCAGCCGCTGTGGGTGACAGTGTGGATGACGGTGTGGACGATGGTGTGGACATGCCTGGAAACGTTAAACACGGAGCTGCCTTATGACCCAGCGATTCCACTGCTGGGAATCTATCCAAGAAAATGCAAACTCTAACTTGCAAAAAACACGGGCAGCCCCGTGTTCACTGCAGTGTTATTTCCAGTAGGTCACCTGGGCATGAGGGAGGGCTGATGGTTGGATAGCGGGAAACACGTGCCCGTGTGTGGAAGCGCCGGCCGAGGGCCACTGGGCTCGTGCCTCCAGCTCCGCCACCCACGGGCAGGGCTGCTCTGGGCACACGGCTTATACCCTAAAAGCTCCATCTCCTATCTTTACGTGAATAATTGGGCTAGACACAGAGATTCTTATTCACGTATTTTTTTCATGGATGCAGAGATCCTTAAGTAGGGTGCACAGATGCCGAGGAGGCCCGTGGGGAGCCGGGGAAGCAGTCAGTGTGGGGGACACGCAGCATTTCCTGTGGGGAGAATCCAGAGCTGTTAGTGACCCCTGAAGGCCGTGGGCGGGGGCAAAGGGGGTGTCTTTGACCAGGAAAGATTCAAAGTCCCCAGGAGGGCCGCTCTCTGGTCCTTGGGAGGACCCAGCCTACGCGGACAAGAGCCACCGCTGCTCTTGCCCCAGCACTTTTAGTCAGTGATTGGCGAAGTCAGCGCCTGCGAGAGGATTTTCAGGTCCGGCCACGCTTCACTGCGAGACTCACGCCCTGAAGGTGTCGCAGGTGTGCGTGGTCTGCGAGAGGGAGCCCACAGCCCCTGTGGGTTCTGCCCTGTTGCTGGGGTTGTTAGGTTTTTCCAGGTGTAGCCTGCATTGCTGTATGTTTTTACAGGCAGGGTGTTTATAAAAAGCAGGAACATGCGGAGGCCAGTCAGCACTTCCCTGTGCACTGAGCACAATCACAGCACTTAGTGAAGAACCCCGTTGCTGCAAACGGCACTGCTCCGTGTGGGGAGAGCTGGGGGCGTTTTTTCCTCAGAGGCCCCGAAAACACTAGGGATAGTTCTCGCAGGGTTTCGCTGCTGGTTGAAGACCCCTTTGAGCTTGATTCGAGGCCTTGCTGAAAACTCGGGTCTGGCTTCTCCGAAGACTAACCCCCCCAGAGGGCGGTGGTGTTGAGTAACAGCAGAGAGAGGCCTATTCAGGCCCCGCTGCTGGTAACGCACTTTCCCGAAGCCTCAGTTCGGGAGCCTGTGAAGAGCCTGTGCATGTGGGTCGGCCCCTCGCCAGCAGCGTAAGCCCAGCACCCAGGTCAACCAAGGACAAAGTGTTAGAAGATGTGTTCTAGCCCCTGTACCATGACCAGCATTCGAAACCTCTGAAGCCAGAGTTTACTCCCAAGACCTGAATACAATTCTTTGTTTTCAAGCATGTGTCCCGTTATCCAAGCAGGAAAACAGGAGGCCGTGGGTGCTGAGCCGCAGTTCCGGGCCACACGGGGCACGGAGCAGGAGGCTGCGTCCCGCTCCTGGCCTCTGCTCCGTCGAGGCCCATCGGCAGCGGTCGGGTGGTCCTGGCTCGGTGAGGGCGGTGGAGGAGGGTGAGAAGGAAGATGGGCTGGGAGATACCTGCCGTTCCCTTCTGTTTGTTTTAATTTGTTATTAATTTTCCGATTGTTCAATTACAGTTGCCCCCCGGCCCACCCCTTCTCCCACATTCAGTCCTCCTCCCGCCCTGTTGCCCTTGCTTGTGGGTCCTTCATACTTGTTCCTGGACTTAACCCGCCCCCTCCCCTCTGGTCCCTGTCTGTTTGTTCCTTTTTACCGTGTCTCTGGTTCTGTGTTGCTCGCTTGTTCGTTTTGAACATCCTTCTCTAGGGCAGGGGCGACCAAACACACGACCTGAGGACGGGGGAGCAGGAAGTTGGCGGTAAAAGCCGTGCCTTTCTCCAGGTGGTTGCAGGAACGCGTGCCATCGCCTGTGGTCACGCTGCTCCTGGCTCCAGTGTTTGTTTGTTTGTTTTGGACCAGGCTGTGGGTTCAACGTGACGAACAGCAACCCCACCGTGTGCATCAACGACCTCATCACAGCGTACAACAGGGAGCACGGGGCGGGGCTGGAGCCCCTGAGACCCGACTGTCTCATCGCCCGGGCCGTGACCGCGCTGGAGCAGCTGATCGACAGGTTTCAGGACAGAGGGCCGCACGCCGTCCTCCCGCTTTACTACAGATACTGGGTGCACAGGTCAGTGCTGGCCGCACACCGCTGGGGCCCCTCCGGCGTCCGTGTCCGGCGTCCTGTGGCGAGAAACTCAGCACCGGTCTAGGTGACAGTGTTTCACCTTTCTGATGGAGGCCTGGGGGCACCACCTTGAGCAAGTCAGCTCCACCCGTAGGTCACAGGACCAGCTGGTCTCTCGTGCATCCTGGTGGGAAACATTGGGAGGACCCCTCTGCCCACCAGCACGTTTAAGTGACTAATTGTGAGGACACAGACAACTCTAAACTTAGAATATTCTAGATAACAATGGTCTTCCAAGCGGGATTCCCCCGTGGGCGGCAGCGGCCTCACCTGGGAACTTGTTGGGAGTACAGATTCCTGAGTCACACCCTGGATCTCCCGGATCAGAGGCCCTGCAACGGGGGCTCTAACAGATGCTCTGGGGGTGCCCACACAACCTTGAGTCTGAGAAGCAGCGGCGTGTGCCCAGCAGCCCCCCCCTTCGAAAATGCCAGTATCTTAAACCAGAAGGTGGAGCGTTGTGAGATTAAGGAGGCGCGACAGTGAAGCACAGTGTGTGGTTCACACCTAGGTCCTGGGTGGGAGGAGGCAGCGTGAGGAACATTAGTTGGGGGGGGAGGGGAGCCTGCCCTGTGCGTTCGGGGGTATTAGTGCATCCGGGGTGGGCTTTACGCGTGACAGTGGTATTACGGTTCTACAGGAGATGGTTCTTATTCTTAGGAGACACGGGATAAGGGATTTCAACATAAATGTCATGATGTCTACACCTTAAAAAGTGTGAGCATGTGATCCGTTGGTGTGAATTTAAGTAAAGGGAGAACATGAGGTTCATTGTACTATTTTTTCAGCCTTTCTATGCATTTGAAATTCTTCAAAATAAAAATGTTGGGGGTGGGAAATTCTGTACTTTTAAACTGTTAAAGGCGTAACTCAATAGGCACATTTGAAAAATATTCAAAAGGAGTTTAACTTGTTAGCTGATGTTGCCCACCTTTGTTTCCTAAGATGGGACTTTTCAGCTCAGCACCCTCCCCCCCAGTCTCAGCCAAACTCCGCCAGCGTTTCAGGATTTCTTAGAAGTGCAAGGGGGAGGAAGCGGGGCCAGCGGCCAGCCCGATCACCAGTTTGTGAGAGAGGCAGTTCCTCTCTCCCCATTGGCCTGGCCGTCACCCTGCTTATGCTAGTCACCCAGACAGCTCACAGCTCACTGAGAACCTGAGAGCTGGGCCACACACACCTGACTTTCCCCTGCCCCGCCTGAGGCAGCCCCATCCCCTCCAGTCCTGGTAATGACGTCATTGTCCCAACCAGCTGCATTACCTTCCCGGTGACCTCTCCCTGTGCTTCCTTTCCAGTGCCCAGCAAGTCCACCTGGGAAGCGCCGAGGGGCCGAAGGCATGGATCGTGGGCCTGGACGATTCTGGGTTCCTGCAGGTTCATCAGGAGGACGGCCAGGTGGTGACTGTGCATCCAGACGGAAACTCCTTCGACATGCTCAGAAACCTCGTCGTCCCCAAATTGCAGTAGTGCCTGTGCAGGAAGACGGCCTGGGGCTGGGGTGCTCAGCGAGGGCCTGGCGCTGGAGCAGGGCGGGGCAGGGCAGTGGCCGTGAGGACTCGGGACCGGCCTCCCGGGCACGAGGCTGCAGCGAGTGTTCCAATCGGGCTCCTGCCCTTGCCTCACCTGAGGATCTAGAAAACTGACTTAGAGGGGTAGGTGAGTTTCCTCCCCCTCGGTTTGCCTGTTAGTTCTTCCCTTTGGTGCTGTCGGGTGTCACTGCACTGGGTGTCGGACGATGACCTGGGTCGGGGGTAGACATGTGGGAAGATTCCTTCGGGGGAGCCCTGCAGCAGGTGTGACACTTTTCTCCCCTCTCGGGCCTGGGAGGTGTTTGTTGCTCCCCACCCCGAACTTCTTTTTACATGGAAGCCGCAGTGGAATCATTCAGAAGTTTCCCAGTGGTGGAGCCCTCTACCCCTAAACTATTAAAAAGCAAATCAAAGAAAGCTCAGGCTGGGGCCGGGGTGGGGGGTGGGGGCTGGGGGCGGGAGAGGTGCGGCAACTGTTTATAAGCACCCGGGGAGGCGGGTTCCTGCAGGAACAGACTTCAGTCCTCGTTTGGTTTCTGTGTTAATGAAGAAAGGGGAAGCTCAGCTTCTCAGAGCTCCTCTCAGCCTGGCGGTTCATGTTCCAATGACAATGGCCACAGGGATGCGTCAGCGGGGATGGTCGCAGGGGCCTTGCAGAGGAACTCGGTTAATCACTTTGACATTAATTTACGAGCTCTCCCTTCATAAATTCAGTTTTACTGCATACTCTAAAGTAACGGGATCAAGTTCAAGGCCCTTAGTGTGTTGAGGGGCCTTGCTCGGACGTGGGGCTGGACGTGGGGCCAGACGACCGGGCTAACAGCTGGAAGCGGAGGCGAGCTCGCCACGCGCCGGGAGGACTTGGAGCTTTTCAGCCGGTGCAGGCGCCCTGCTAGATGTGGAGGGTCCCGGAGGCTGGCGCCCCAGGCGACAGGAGCACATGGCGTCTTGCTTGTGAGTCGTCATTTTGTGCCCCTGCTTCTGACAGTGACGAGGAAAATGATGTGGAAGGCCATAATTTCAGAGGCCGGGAGTGTGTGTGTGTGTGTGTGCGTGTGTGTGTAAGAGCAGTCTTAAAAGATCTTCAAAATCTGATATCCTAAAAGTCTCCATCAAAGAACAAAAGAAAGGAAGCCTTTTGATTCACATTTGCTGTTCCAGATGTCCACCACACCGTCTCCATGTAACTCCTGTCTCCACTGAACTGGGGGGATTCTACACACTACTTTCCAGCCTTAAAAGGCCAATTTTTGCCCACTTTCCTCTCTTCCTGCCAGTCCCAACTGAAATTAGTGGAAAGAAAACTTGATGGAGCTCTCACTTTGAACAAAATCGCCTTATTGTGCAAGCAGGACCATCTTTATCCAGCTCTTAGCCACTCGGGCTAATTCCAGAGACCCTGTGGTTTCCCACCTTCAGCCGGGCACAGGCAGCCCCGTGGGGGGGGGGACGGACAGGAACATGTAGTTAAGTACACCAACCAAATTTGTGTTTCTTGGAAACTCAACTTTCTAAAAGGAACTTCAAAAGTAACTTTTGTAACTAAAGCTTCCATTAGAATTATTACCCTCTGCCCCCCCCATCCAAAAAAACAGGGTCACTCTCTCCTACATGCCCAAGTCTTGTCTTAGAGTTAGTCACACATTTAAGTAAAAGCCCACACCACCCCCAAATTACAAAATAGACTCACCCTTGAGAGGGCATCTGCAAAGCATCACCAGGAAGAAAGCTCCCGGGCGCACGTTGCAAGACTCATTTCTCCAACACAAGGCGAGCCTTCCCTCGGCCGCCATCCTTATTCCTCTGTGCATTTCTTTGGGGGGTTATTTAATGAAAAACACGCCATGTTTTGCTTTAAGCTGAAGCCCCGTTCTAGACAGCTCTGCTTTGGGGGAAAGTGTTATCATCTCATTTCCTTCCTGCAAATTAAAACAAATGAAGTGTGGCCCGGTCTGAGAGGGTAGAGCTGTTGCGGGCCCCGCGCCCTGCCTCCGCGCTGGGGAGGCTGCCCTGGCTACGATGTCCAGGTGTCCTCAGGGAGCCGCAGTGGGCTGGCAGCAGATGCTGCGTTTTATGGGCGCCCGACTTGGCCTCGGGGGATCCAAAGACTTGAAATTCCGCTCCTCGTAGGGTAGATACTGAGGGCCTTCCACCTGGAGCTGTCAGCGTCGGGGACCCCGCCCCCACACACTCCTCGGTTTGGAGCGGTTCCACACCACAAGTCTCATCTCAAGGACCTCTTAAAGTCCCGACAGAAACTGCATGGTCCCTATGACCTTTAAACCATGACAACTGAACTCAGGACTGGCGTGTGCTCTTAGTGCAGAAGGGCCCCCCAGTCTAGAGGCTGGGCCTTGAGCATCTGACAGGCTGTGTGAAAGGTGGGACAGCTCTCTCTGAAAGCAGATCGCAGGAAACTCCTGGGGAAGTGTCACTGAAATAGGACACAGCCACAGCTGGGTTTCCTGTGGCCCCCACGGGGCAGGGAGTGGTAGAAATTCTCAAATCCCGAGGGTTTCCAGGAACTGGCCCTGGGCAGGCGCTGGCCGCATTCACAGGGCGTGGGCAGCGTGCGAAGGGTTTGTGTCATGTAAAACGGTGGGGTTTTCTGCTGTAGCAGGTTCACTGTGACTGGACAGGCGAGGGGTAGGAGCACACACCCGGGACGGGGGCAGGGGGAGCACGCCCTGCCTGCTGTGTACACCCCCGAGGCCGAGAACTGGGGGAGAACCGGCCCCACCCAGCAGATTCAGAATGCAAAAGGACACATTGTAGGGTGCGGTCACCTGTTGGCTGCCACTAGGAGAACCTGTACTCCTGGGCAGTCACTCTGCATATTTGAAATAAAAGCAAGTGGCAACCTTTGCATTTTTAACTTTTCAAAGAATTATGTCAGAAACGTAATTAAGCCAATGCCTATAAAAAGCAAGTCTACCAAAATAAACTAAGGCTTTCTATACAATATGGGCTCATTGTTATTTTTACCACATTTCATTTTTACAAATAGGCAGCTACTTATGGTTACAGTATTTTTATTCATATTTAAACATATTTTTACAAAATAAATAGTTTTACAAGGTAAGGAATATGAATGTATTTCTAATTAGTAAGGAGCTGGTGTTTTATTCTTTTTATGTATTTTTCACAAGTGTATTATGCGTCATACAAAAGAGAAGTTTTATTCCAAAGAATGAAAGTTAGGAAAACCCAAAAGTAAAAAAAACAACAACAACAAAAAAGCAAAACATTTGAGGTGAGAAATAAATTTAATATAACAGCATAATGTGTTTTAAATTTAAAAATAAATTTAAGAAATTAAGGAATGGATTTTATTCTTGATTTTTTTCCTCTTTTGTGAAGCTGCCTGATTTTTTTTGCCATGGGAGTTTTAAGATTTTAAGCTCATACACCTTGAGTTGAGGAACAGCTTGAATGACGCATTTTAGAGCGAGGCTGTGACTCACTAACGTTTTAAGCGACTGTAATTTTCCGGCATTTACTTGAAAATGTTTTCATTCCATCTTCTCCATGGCAGCCCCCAGTGTGCCCTAACTGTCTCACAGTTACAGTGAGTTACAACTTTGATAGACTTGATGATATGGAAGGGCTTGGGCCACATGAACCCCTCCTACCCCTGGGGCCCAGGGGAGGAAGGCTTGGCCTGTCGGACTTTAAAAGGAGGCAGGTGCGGGGCTGCGTGTCGGGGCAGAAAATACAGGCTCTTGCAGATCTCAGAGCATCCCTGCTTCACACCCTGCTCGCTTCTCTGCAAAGGTATGAGTGGAATGGCTTTTCTAGAAAAGGCTTCCACGAACATAAAGGCATTCCTTTCCCTGGGAGTCCCCGCCCGTCTTGAACTGGGCTTATTTCTCACATCTATTCAATCTGGCATTTTTGTGAACATGTCAGAGCACACTATAATTTTTCCTTTTTTTTTTTACAAGAGGCATATTTATTAAAACGCTTTCGCTTTCCCTGCCAGATGCGTACAGAAGTCAAGATTTGATGTCCCCAGCTTGCACATGCAGACTCTTCAAGATGGACACTACAATATTAGGTTGCCATAGTAACTGCTGTTAAGTTTGCACCGTGCTGCTGACCACCTCAAAGCCAACTTGCCTAGGAATCTCATTTCACGTTCTAGGTCACGAAAACGGTGCTGTTCGTTTAGACAGGAAGTTATCTAGCACACGCTTCACTTTCCATGTACACGCACACTCTTTGTTAAGACTGTTTATGTTACCATTTGTAAATCTAACAGCCCTCATTCTTCACAGTAACCTTTGATCTTAAACTGCTCCGAACACCTTTTTTGGTTTGTGCTTGTTAAAGGTGGCCCCCAATGGTTAATAACAAGGTAGACACAAAGACGTTTTGCTGTACTTTATTGAAAAATGTCAGCCGATATACCTCCTGCCCATCACACCTGCACCTTCCGGGAATCGTGGTTCAGTCATGAGACTCGTGAGCATAAACGTGATCCCTCAGGCTCATTTTATGTGCACTCCCCCCAAGGGCTGCTCATGAAGGGCAGCTAAGTGCGGTTGGGGGTGAAGGGTCCATTCCTATGACCCAGCCTCCCGGCTGCACCAAAGGTGCCCCTAAATTTGCAAATTGCATCTCATACTGTAAGGCAGTGAGCACCCTGCTAGGGAAGGAAGCAGATGCTCACGGTGACGCTGGGTTGGCAACAGAGCGTCACGTTTTTGCAGCCAGTCCATGAAGGGGCACTTGGACTGCAGAACGAGTTAAAGACACGTGAAAAACCTTTTCACTCAGAAAGGTGGTGTTGCCTGAAAGGAAACCATTTTTGAAAAATCAGCAAAGGGGACAGTTTACAGCGCAGAGAAAACAAAGCTGGGGAATCAAAGCCTTGATCCCCTTTGGAGTCAAGATACAACTTTTAAATGGTCAAATCATGGGGTAAAAACATAAAAGTAAAACAAAAAGTTGTAAAACACTGCTGGTGCTTTGTAAAAGATTTGTGTCTCCCTGTGACGGTATGTTCACATGGAGCTTTGCTGAAGACAATGTGAAGACTTTCATGACACCCTGTGGGCACGGTTTCGTCCACGCAGCGCGGCCCTCAGAATACTTTCCATATTGCACATGCACTCTGACCGTATTGGCGCTACTGGTAGCGACTGTGAGCCTGGGGAGCTGCAGGTCTGTGTGGGCCAGACGGACTTGGACTTGTACTCAGACTTGACAAGAGCAGCCAATCGCATTGGGCACCTAAATCATCCATGTGTCCATCTCATAAAATATCTGGCTACACACACACACACACACACACACACACACACACACACACACACACACATATACTTTTGGCATTTAATGCTTATTCAGTATTCTGAAGGTGCTATTCTTGGTTAGGAGGAAGAGCTTTTGAATGTGTTTGAGAAGCATGCTTGCCCCGTTGGTCTCAGCTTGTTGATTTGGGTATTAAAGACTTAAAACAAGTTTTAATGAGACTCACGCATGACTTTTAAAGACAGACTTGTCTACTCATGGGACTTGGAATAATGACCTTCTGCCTGAACCTAAGACTTAGCAAGGGCTCTGAATACAGGGAGTGTCCCCGCCTCCCCCCGCCCCCACCCCACCCTGCATATCTGCCCACATCAGGGCGCTTTCTTCCTTAGAAATGGAGACCGTTTACGGAGCCCACACTCCTTCATTCCTCCATTGGGACCGGTGAGCATCCCCGCGACAAGGCAGGGCCCCCGAGCCTGGCATCGAGGTGAGGACAGCAAGTGCCCCCAGCACGGGTCGTTTGAGGTCACAGTGGGACGGCGGGACGCCCAGCTCTACCCTTTAGGAAAGCCTGTTGCTTGGAGAGCGAAGCTCGGGCAGCCACCTCCTAGGCGGGTCTCAGTCCTCTGCACCGGCCTTTATGGCATCTACGGTAAAAATCTAAAAGTCGGCTGCGGAGTTCTATTAAAATAGTCGTCTCTGTATAAATTAATTTAAATCGTGCCTCTACAGCTCGCCCCTTTGAACTCGGCTGGGCGTCGTGAAACCGGAGCCCAGGAGGCCTGGCCTATGGCTTCTGGCTGCGGGCGGCCCCTGGACGCCGCGGTCCGGCCAGGCCGGGTCACCTGCCATGGGTGATGATGACCGAGGCGCCCAGGTAGTGCGGCAGGGGCGCGCCCGGCGGCGAGGAGGCAGCCGGGCCCGGGCCGGGGGGCCGGGGCCGCAGCGCGCCGGGCGCCGCCTCGGGGACGCCGGCCAGGGCGGGCGGGGCGGGCGCAGCGCCCCCCAGCGGCCCGCGCCGGGCCAGCACGCGGTGGTAGTTGAGCAGCACGAAGGGCAGCTGCGCCGGCGCGCCCGGGGGCTCGGGCACCGGCGGCGCGCAGCACTCGGGCGCCGCGCGGGCCAGCGCCAGCCGCGCCCCTTCCCGGGGGGCCTGGCGGGAGGCCTTGGCCGGGGCCAGCGCGGGCTCCTCGCGGTAGTGGCCGCAGCTCGGGAAGCTCGGCGGCGCGGTGTCCTCGCCGAACCTGCGCGCGGCGGCCGCGGTGGGCGCTGCGGGGACAGGCGACACGTTAGACGGGGGAGGAAGGGGACATAGCTACAGCCAAAGCAACCTAGGGGGCCCGGCGCCGACCCAGCCTCCCTTTGGCCACCCACCACCCGCGCGCTGAGCCCCCAGGGCGGCCACTGTCCCTGCCCTTCGTGAGTCCCAGGCCCACGTTGTCCAATCGCAAGATGCAGCTTGCAATGTTCCAGTAGCCGCACTGAGGAGTGAGCAGCAGGTGAAATTAACCTTAACGACATACTTAATACAACACATCCAGAATACTATTTCAGGGTGGGATCAGTATTTTTAAAGTATCCCGTGATTCCGTCTGTGAACGCAGTACGGACACAGCACGCCTCGTCGCACCGGCCACACCGCACTGCTCCGTAGCCACGCGTGGCCGCGGGCGGCCGAACTGGTCTGAGGCTTCCCGGGCCCTAGTGGGCGGTGGCCCCGCGCAGCCGCGATCTTTCCGGCTCATCCCACAGCGGGGGGGGGGGGGTGGGGGGGGGGAAGGCGCAGTGGTACCACCCGGCTCCCTGTGGGGTTTCATAACCAAAAAAATGCCTTCACTGAGGAGGTGCCTGCAGTCCCTGAGCTCCCTCTGTTTCTTACCTGAAGACAAACTGTCCTTTTGGAATATGAAAAACACTAGGAAATTTATCACAAATCGCCCCACATTAGCACCTTCGGTCCATTTTTTACCAAGTGGGTGATAAATGAGGTGGCTATTAACCTCTCACTTTCAAAATAGCAATTAAAAAAAATCCAGTGCTGTGTTGTTTCACTGGCCAATTTACACACACAAAGAAAAACAAGGCCCCAACCACCACGCCACCCTGAATGACTGGTCAGGTCTGTGCGCGGAAGCTGAGAAAAAGAATTCTCTCAAGTCACTCTCAAGCGGGCAACATTTTCAGCTGCCATCAAAACCCTTCCCTTTGTCCTTCCCTCCTGAGAGGCCAAGGAACCCTTTCTTGGTTATTCGGGGGCCTGAAGGTCAGTGGCTCCGGGGACGGGCCCAGGCCGGAAGGCAGGGTTGCACTGCCCCGGTGGCCAGCACGTTCTTTTCTTAAATGGGCTACTTTTGAACACCCTGTCCTGGCCATCTCCGAGGTCCGACCTCCCCCGTGTCCTCCACAGCCTTGTAAGGAGGGTCAGAGCACAGAGCAGGCACTTCCCAAAGCAGCCGGAGGAGGGGCAGATGCCCATCTGCCTCCAAAAGAGAAAGGCAGGGCGGTGGAGGCCCCAGGGAGGGCTCTCTCCTTACACGGGTGGTTCTTTGCTGGGGCATGTGGCACTTCTGCGGCACTTGGTGGCCCCCAGACGACATCTGCACTGCCTTGTCTCCATGCAGCACAGCAGCTGGGGCAGGGCGAGGCAGGACGCACCTCGCGTAGCCAGCCAGTCCTCACTCCCCGCTGCCCTCTGACTGGACTTGGCCCAGTGAGCAAACAGGAGGCTGCTAGGCCTGGGGCAGATGGTGGCACCTTCACAGAGGACCTCTGCTTGTCTGCCACCAGGAGGAGCTGGCTGAGGGGCCATCCCTGTCTCTGTAATGTGGGACTCGCACATACGTGCTGACCCGGCGCTGTGGTGTGAAGAGCCCTCAGGGAGGCATCTCCCGTGGCTTACGATCCCGTTTTCGGATGAAGAAACTGAGTCCAGGGGGGCGGGGAGGCAGGGAGAGGCAGGGCTATGCTATCTGCCCTGGGCTGGCGAGTGGCATTTCTGTCCCTGAGCTCATGAATCTCTACCACTGTCTTCTGTGGAGCATGGGACTAAAGCCAACAGCCTCCTGTGTGCTTTTCTGGGTGGAGCAGAGCGTACATAAGCTTGAAAAATAGAGGCAGCTGGGCCATTCTCAGGACAGGGAGGCTGGTTGTGAAAATCCCTTTGTCTCCTTTTGAGGGAGTAAACGAGGTGAGGACTTGGTGGAGCGTGCTGACCGCTTGGTGTCCTCTGCCCTTTGTCTTGTGACGTGTGCCTACGGGCACTTGGACTCAGTCACCCAGCCTCACCCAGCCTCACCCACCCTGGTGAGGTGCTCGCGCCAAGAGCAGGGAAACCCAGCAACGCCTACTAAGAAGCAGAAGGAAAAGTCTGCCCAGACCGCCAGGGTCCCTGCCCCACATGCAAACTCGACCCACCTTCATAGTTCGGTGTGAGGTTGTGCCGAGCCAAGCTCACTGGTGGCTCGGAGAGGTTTTTTGCAGAAGATGGGCTGCTAGGCACTAGGGGGTTGGCATAATGCCACTGGCACTCGCCGCCGGTTGGCAGCGTGCTCAGGAAGAAGCGTGCCACCTCGCACGGGGACCCTTGGGGCTGCCCGAATTTGGCCGGCAACTTTGGCTTCTTGCTGCCGAAGACGTGCGAGTCTAGAGGGAAGTGTCCGTAATGGTAGGAGAAGGGCAGGCTGTAGGGCGGGGCGTACAGCAGGTCGCCGCCTTCTGCATGGAGCGGCTGCTCCGGGGGGGCCGCCGTGTCCGCCGGGGGACTGGCTCTCCAGCTGCCGAGCTGGCCGCATTCCAGTTTGTCCATCGGGAACGGGCTGTAGTGCTGCGTGGCACATGGGACAAGTGAGGGACACCTGCCTTCCAGCCGTATGAGGTCTGAGCCCACGGTGCCCGGCCCCATCCCAGAGCTGGACCACCCCTGGCCACCCTGTGAGGTCCCACTGGGGACCCCCTCTGACCCACCCCCTCCCCAAGCTGACAACACACCACATATGTGCAGGCACCTGCTGTTTCCGAGGACTTGCAAACTCAGAAAGGAGAAGGGAAGGCTTTCATTTTTTAAAATATGCTGTGGGGAAAATTCAAGGCCCCAGTGCTCAGAAAACGCCTGCGGGGGCTCAGCAGGCCCAGGAGCCTTCCTGGGGAGACCTCGCCAGGCACCCCGGACGGCAGGCCTGCATGTTCAAGCCAGAGGGACTCTGCTTCATTCCGCAGGGAACGTTCCGGGCCGGGAAGCCCCGCTGGCAAACCACGTGTCCCGAGCCCCTGGGACGGACGCCACCTCACCCATCCCTGCAGGATGGGGTGCATGTTACCTGCGGGGGGTAAGGGTTTGTCCGCAGCTTTGTCTTCATCTTCGTACTTTTGGGTTTCGCTAACTTCCTAGTTTCTTGTGAGGTAGACAAGGCAGTCCTCCAGGAGTCCTGGGACTTTGACGTGGACACCTGGTCCAGAGACAGCTGCAGCTCCTTGTACTCAATGTCCCTGAGAGGCAAGAGTGGGGCGGGCTGTGTCCAGCGGGCTGGACGCAGAGTGGCCCTCCGGGCACCTCCCCTGAGCGAGACCCTCCTCAACGCTCCAGTGCATCACTTCAGTGAGGCCAGGTGTGGGTGGGGTTGGAGGAGAGGACAGGTCGCCCCGATCGTAAAAGCCACCCGGCAGCCCCGAGTCCCCAAAGTGCTGAGTGAGGGCATTGTTATTCAGCAGAAACAGAGGGGGGGTGTGGCTCTCCCCCATCCCGCAGGGCCCCACAGGCCCACTAGGAATGGGGCCCGGGCCCCCAGGGAAGGCAGAAGCACTGCTTATCAGAGTGTCCGTGGCCCACCTGTTTCTCTACTAGCGCCAAGGAGGCTTGAGTCGGGGCACCTTGAGGGTCCAGGAGCCCAGTTTCGTCCTAAACAGCCACCTCAGTGCCGTCCTATACTCCGGACGCTTGTTCGCTCAAAAAGTGTTTAGGAGGCTAACATGCTTTCTTCCCTGCAGTGTTGCCAAAAATCACTCTACTTCTAACACAAACACAAACACAACAACAAACAGTAGTCTGGCCTCCTGTGAAAGAAGGTAGAGCGGAAGGCCTGCTTAGAGCAGGCCAGGGGACTGACTGCAAGTCTCTCAAGTTCAGGGTTACAGCCAGGTGCCAGGTGATGTAACACGCCATGGTGTGGTGGGCAGGGAGTACTGTATGGTCCCAGCTAGACCTGGGTCCTGTTGCTTCTAATGGTCTTACAAGTATTTGCCATTGAACTTGACTTTCTGGGGTTTTGAAAGGACCAAATATTCACCATCATTTGCAGTAGGCTGTACAGGAAGACAGGCTGAAAATGGGGCTGTCCCCTCTCCCAGGTGGCAGGAGCATGCATAATGACCCGGCCACACGTGGGCACACACAGCAGAGGTTTGCATTCCTGGTCTGGGACTTGAGCACCCCCACCCTCCCTCTGGCCGCAGGGACACCCACCCTCACCTGGGTCCCAACCCCTCCTAATCCACGCCCAGAGCAGGGCGCCCCTTTCCCGAGCACGCAGCCGCCCGAGCTGAGTGCTGGAATAGCTTGGACCTTCCCAATCAACCAGAGCGTTCAGATGAAAACAAGACAGGAGACAAATGAACGGTTCCAGAGAGAGGCGGGTGTGGAGAGAGAGAAAGAGAGATGGTGCTTGTTGGAGCGATCTGATGAGGGGCAGAAAGAGCAAGGAGAGAAACAATACGTCTGACTTACGTGAGCACATAATTGACACTCACGATGCAGTGAGGCCGGGAGGAGCGGCTGTTGTGCACCACGGTGGCGTAGCTCTGCACCCACACCCAGCCGCCCAGCTTGGACAGCAGCCGGTAGTACTTGGTGGTCACCTGGCCCTTCACCAGCACTGCAAGCACAAGGGGACACGAATCCCGAGGGACAGTTAGCAGGCCCTGCCTTGGGGGACGCTGCCCCTCAGATGAGCTACCACCCGGGTTCTGAACCTGTCTGGGGTCAAGGATACCTTGGAGAACTTGACAAAGAGGGCAGCTTCCTCTGCGGAAGCTGTATGCTTGTGCGCACACGCACACACTTTTGCCCATGATTCCCAGGGACGGAGGATCAACCTCTCCCTCCCTGCTAAGGGCTCTCATGTGAAAATTGCTGCTTCCATTGGGAGAAACAACCAGCCCCCAGACCACGACTGCACCTGCCAGTGATAAAACTGGATTTGCTTTTTGGTCTCCAAAATGCCACAATTACGTGATAACCAACCCCCAAACCCTTAATAGGTTGGGGGAGGGGTGGGGAGGGGGCGATGTAGCTATTTCAGCAAAACTGTGAGTCGAGGGCATTCGACGAAGCCCCGATTGCCGCTCTTTGTGGCTCTCCGGAGCAGGGCATGCTTGCCGGGAAGCTGCTCCTCCGTGGCCATGTGCTTCCTTCCCATGAGCCCCAGTTTTCCTCAGGCCCATTGATTTCCTGTGCTGCTCACACAGAAGGACCTCGGCTTGGCTGCCTGGCTCCTGACGCTGCGGACCCAGCTTCTCTCTACCCACAGCTGCGCACGCCAGGCTGCCGAGAGCCTGGGTGTGTGCGTCACCGCCCGCCACTCCTTGGGGCCTGCAGGCGGGCAGGTGGCAGAGGGGAAGGTGGCAGAAACTTGGGGTGGGGGTTCATGGAAAGGAGGGAACCCGACTTAATCTTCTCCATGGAGGGAGAGGCCAGCGCAGGCCTGAAAAGTCACCCCTGGAGGCTCTGGTCACTTGTGGCCATAGGACATTCCTGCTCCGGAAGGCAGGCCTGGTCCCCGGGCTCTGGCTAGCAGCCACCCCAGCAGGGATGTGGGGAGCTGGCCAAATTCTGTGACTGCAGGAGCTGCTGCTGAAGGAACCCCCCCGGAGACTCCAAACACAGAAGGTCAACCCTCCTCTGTGCCCCTAGGCTAGGCCCCCACGCCCCTCCACCCGGGCCCTCTCTGAACTCTCCACGGCCTTCCATGACTTGCTTTAACATAGGTGTGGCTCTTTATCATCCACTTGAACACCCGCAGACAGATGTTCTGGTGCCAACATGGTAGTCAAGGCGTCGTCAGCCTTAATTTAGGAAGAGTTCAAACAGATCGAGGAGAACACTGAGAGAAGCAATACGGGCGAAGGACACAAACAAGCAGCTCGCCCAAGACTGCGTGTGGATGGCAAGCACGTTTCAACTCATTGGCTTAACTCGGTGCGGGACGCTGCCCCTAAAATCAACAGACACTTAAAAAGAAACATCCAGGACAGGGACATCTGTGGAGACCCTGGTCACCGGGGGATGAGAGGTGCTGGGTGTGACGGCTCATGGCCAGGCTTCCTCTTGGGATGAAGACGGTGCTCTGCCCTGGCTGGTGGGGCTCAGTGGGTTGCGCTCCGGCCTGCGATCTGAAAGGCGGCCCATTGATTCCTGGTCAGGGCACGTGCCTGGGTTGCAGGCCAGGTCCCAGGTTGGGGGCGTGCAAGAGGCAACCAGTCAATGTTTCTCTCCCTCTCTTTCTCCCTCACTTCCCCTCTCTCTAAAATTAAATAAGTAAAATCCTTTAAAAATGTTCTGGAATTAGGTAAAAGTGATAGCTACACACCACTCTCAATATACTGAAACCACGGACAGCCATTAAAACAGTGAATTTCATATTATGTGAACTTTCATATTATGTAAAAAAAAAAGAAATGACCGTGGTGATGCTAGCTGACCTACGGCCAGGAGCACCGTCACGTGCTGGCGGAGGCGTGCGTTGGTGGGGTCCCCAGGCCACCCCCAGACACTGGCTCCACGGGGCTGAGGAGGGGTGTACAGAGACCCCAGGCCAGAGAGATCCGCGGTGCCCTGCTTATAGCTCAGGACACGGGGAGGGGAGGCTTCGCTGTCCGACGGCGGGGAAGGGGTGAGTGAGACCGGAGTGCCCTGCAGCCAGTCTGGGACCAGTGAGAGTGTGGGATATTCCGGGCAGGTGTGTTAGGTGATGCGAAATGGGACAAGACAGGAAACTGCACCCAGTGACAAACCAGTGACGCGGAAGTGTGTGTACACCTCGGTCCCCACCTGGCTGTGCGAGCTCCGGCCAGGTGCTCTGACCCCCATTTCTCCCAGTGGCCACTGTGGGCAGACAGAACAGCATCTTCCAGAAGGTTCTGTGCAGCTACATATGGGGGTGGCCCAATTAGGGGAGACTTAACCAATTGCTTATGGCTCCCAAAGAGAAGGGACATGGTCACACTGAGGTCCCACGTGTGGATTTCCTGGGAGGTCATGCTTTCTTTAAGAGAAATGCTAATCCCTTCCACTTTGAACTCTGTCCCTGGCACCCTGTGTAAAGTCCCCATAACAACATGTTCAGTAACTTTCTTTTTAAATTTTGGTAATAAATGATATCATTTTTTTTAAAGCCCCAAGGAGTAAGACTGCACACATTCCCTGTTCCTCATCTTGTACGTTTCCCTTCCTGGTGTTTACACAACATTCCCAAAACCTATCGGCAGTGATCACAGAGCTGGACATCATGAAGCCCATTCATTGCGAGTGTTTCGTGCGAGGACTCGCACGGCAGCGGCTGCCCGGATTTATTTTCTCTGACCCTCCCCGAATCTGCAGAGACAAGGCTGAGCTGCAGAGCACAGACACAGACACTGGACTTCTTTCCGAGGCTGCTCTACGGCCCCTGGCGAGAGTCAGCACGTCAGCCCAAGACGAAATCCTAGATGCTGAGTCACAACATTCTTCAGTTCGCTCTCGCTGTCCACACAGCTGGTCGTCCCGATGAGCTGCCCGCCATGAGCCTGGGCTAGCGCCATCTATAATGAGTCCCTGCTTCTGGTAGTGGTGGCCGGGCAGGGAGGCGACGTCCCCACACCGTGAGCTCCTGAGGGCAGCGGCCCGGACTTGGCACCTCTATGCTCCATCTCCAACATCACGGCTGATGTTGGCTCTGAAATCAGCGTGGCCCTGCCTAGAGGAAAGCTGGTGGTCCTGGTTTTCCGAGGCTGCTTTGGGATGGACGTTCTGGTTCCATCCATACGCTCCCCAGAAAAAGAGGCGGCTGCTTCCTTCAGATTCTTCCTGGAGGTACAGCCGTGACGAGGCACCAGCCAGTGGAAGGAAAGTGATGTTGGCCTGAGGCATCATTTCTACTTCTGATTGGAACTTGAGGAGCCGAGGACACCAAAAGTGCCAGTTGTGGGTGGAATAGTGTCCCCCCCAAAGGACATGTTCTACATCCCAACCCCCAGAACCCATGGATGTGACCATATTTGGGCCAAGGGGCTTTAAAGAGGTGATTAAGTTAAGGGTCCAAGAAGACAGGCAGAGATTGGAGCGTGCGGCCATGAGCCCAGGGGGGCCCATGGCCCCCAGCAGTTGCAGGAGACAATGCAGATTCACCCCCACAGCCCTCAGAGGGGGCACACCCTGCCGACACCTCAGTTTTGGCCCTTTGGCCTCCAGAACTGGGGGACAAATTTCTGCTGTTTTAAGCCACAAAGTTGATTTCATTTTGTCACAGTTGCTCCGGGAAATGGAACCACCTGCCACAGAAACAGCGGGAAGGGACCCAGGCCCTGCCCCCCAGTCCTCAGCTGGTCTGACGGACGGGGTCTCAGGGAGCATGCCATCGGCGAGGCTGCAGACAGTCCCGTGCTCCTTTGGGGAGCAGGCCTCGGGAGCTGCGTGGCCCCCCACAACCCTCCTGCTCTGCCTGCTGCCAGATGCAGTTTGGTTGATGAGAAGACATGGAAAGCCCCAGGGAAGACAGAAGCACTCTGGGGAGACCTTTCCACGAGGCCCCATCGGGGGACGTCTGCAAGGTAACACTGGCCTCTGTCCCCTTTGGTTTCGAGCTGGAGTGACAATCTACAGCCACAAATGTCCACCCAGCAATCCGGGTGACGTGTAGACCCCACTGTGCTTTCTGGGACTAGCTCCTGTTCACTGCTCACGGTTCCCATGGTGCAGGGTCCCCGTCCCTCATCTGCAAGACGAAGCCGCTGCCACCTGCAGAAAGCCTGGAGGGAGGGGATCTTCAGGGGAGTCAAACTGCACCGTCCACTTCCAGTCAGAGGCCGGCGAGGCCGTGGTGGAGGCCGGCATCCCGTGATGTCCAGCAAAACTCCTCACAGTGATGGGAAACTCCCTCTGTCAGGTTTGTCTTCTAGTTCAAGGCCTCTGCCCCGGAGCGGTCGCAAAGGGACGCCCATTTGCCATCTGTGTCCACAGACGGGCTCTGTCGGTGGCAGGGTGTCGATGGGCCATGTGGCCCCAGTGAGCCCCGGGCTCCATCCCCACGGCCCCACCTTGCCTGTTCCTGCACTCACGTGCCAGGCCTGCCCCTGGAGCGGCTCCTGCCTGTTGTTTAGAACGTGTCCCCGGGACTCTCCCCACCGCCCTGCGGTTTGTCCCAACGGCTGCCGCTTGAGACTCGTGGACCACACATTTGGGCTCCGAAGCTTCTGTGACGGTAAAATGTCCTGACGTTGGGCCCAGCCTGTGTGCTCCTCGGGGGTCTGGGCGTGGCCCACTCTGCCCGGGGCCGGCCCACAGACATCTGACGTGTTGCCAGACAGACGTCATGGTGCTTCCAAGCCCTGGTGTCCATCCATGGGCTGTCTGCCCAGGGTCCCTCCACACAAATCGTTCAGTTGACCGTCTTGAGCCCTCCCGCACCTGTGCGCCTGGCTTCCCCCGCCCACCCCCAGGACAGGCCAGTCAGCAGAGCACAGAGTCCCCCCGGCTCCTCCCAGGCAAGAAAGAGTCTCCCAACCCAACCCTTTCCCAAGAGCAGAGACGGTGGAGGTGGCTCCCTCAGGCCACATGACTGCGTCCTTCCTGCCCCGAGGCCCAGGCTCAGCAGGGCTGCTGGGAAGACCTGTGTTCACTGCTCCTGACAGAAGGTTCTGGGGGAGCCCAGCACAGTCTGATCGGACAACCCCCCTGGGAACCCCGGGCCCACACGGCCCCACCCAGAGGCCCAGGCACCAGTGCCCGTCTTTGGGGACCCAGCTCTGGCAGCCTGTGCTCCCTGGAGACTGTGCTGCTAGGCAGGTGCCTCCCTGGGAAGGCTGGTGCCGAGACTGACCAGGATGCAGGTGTGAGATCGCAGTCTGGTGATTAAGAAACAGGAACAAAAAACCTGTCCCTGACTCCGTGTCTCTGGTGCACAGAGACCTTCCCACGCTGCTGTGAACCTCGAGGGGCAGGAACAGCCTGGCTGTAACAGGTCTCTGCCTCCAGTGCCTCGGGAGGGGGAGACGGTGACATCCTAGTGACGGCCTTGCTCACTGGGTCCCCGGCCACACGGAACGGCAGGTGGAGCAGCCCCTGGCCCTGATGTCCACCTGCAACATCAGTGACTTGTCCTCTGACTTCACGACCAACAGAGCAAAGCAAGGACGGAGGACAAGCCACCTGGCCCCTTGCACAGATCTGGCTCCGCCGAGTCTCTGCAGCCCCTTAATTAGCCCCCCGGACCAGCCACGGGCGTGGTGGGCTGCACGGCGAATGGGGGGTCCCGCTCCCCCCCAGTGTCTTGCTGCCTCAGCTTGGATTCTAGAAGTCTCTCTTCCTGAGGCACTCCAGCCCAGTGGCCCCCACACTCCCTCTGTCGGCAAATAGAATACGGTCTGTCCACTCTCTCCACATGGATTCTCCCACCCTAGACACCTGCAGTCTGCCCGGAGCGTCCCCAGCCAGACGGTGGGCAGTGGTCAGAGGCTGCCCGCTGCCTGGGCGCAGTTCCCAGCTCTGCCGCCGCCCTGCTGTGTGACTGTGGGCAAGTGGCTTAATGTCTCTGAACCTCAGCATCCCTGACAGTAGGAGGAGGACCACAAACCTGAGCCTTTCCCTCCCTGGGTTGAGCAGTTACTTACTGGTCAATGGCTGCCCGACCATGGCCAGGGCTCTGTGTTGGTGCTCCAACTCCACACCGCGGCTGTTACTCGCAAATGGTGCCCAGATGTCCCAGAGGCATTTTGGTTCCAAACCCACCATCTGGAGTCCAGCAGCTTCCGCCCCCTCCCCCATGCCGGCCAGAGTCTCGCCGGGCGTTCGAGAACTCAGCTGTGCTCACACCCAGGGTGCGAGGACTGGGCCCGAGGTTTGAGGTCTGTGCGTGCGTGTGTGCACACTGTGGACGATTATTGCACCACACAAGCAACGCTCCCCCGCCCTGTCCACAGCACCGCCCTGCTGGCTCGGGCTGCCCCACACCCACCCGCGGTGGGGGCCATACTCACAGAGGTGGTGTGCGTAGCGGAGGTGGAAGGCGTCGCAGCCGTGCACGTGGTGGTACAGGGTCTTCTCGATCAGGTCCTGCGGCTCATAGCCCGTCAGCTCCGTCACCCTGCGGGGGGCCGGGGGGCGGGCGGGCAGGAAGGTTGATTTTGGGAACTAAGAATGATCTGTTTTCCAAGAAGAAAGGCTTTGAGCTGCAGCCTGAGGCAGGGTGCAGCCCCAGGCACCAGGGGGATGTTCCGAAACCACCGGCCACAGGAATGCTGGGGGCGGCCTCAGGTCGCCCCTGCTCGGGTGAAGCTCATCGGAGGGGCTTAAGCGTGGACTTTGGTGCCCCTGCTGAGCGGGAGAAAGCTGCCCAGGTGGGAAGCAGCCCGATCTCTGGGGACTCTTGGGGGACCCTTTTTAAAAAACGACTGTGGTAAATAATTATAACATAAACTTCCCCATTTTAACCATTTTTAAGTGTGCAGTTAGTTCAGTGGCCATGGTTCCCTTCGCTATGTTACCTGACCACCCCCACTTCCATTTGCAAAACTTTTCACCACTCCGGACAGAAACTGTCCCCGTTACATAAGTCCCTCTTCCCTGTCCCCCACGTTCCTGGCAACCGCTACCCACCGTCTGGCTTTGCCTACCCCAGCTGTCTCATCTAAGCAGAATGATACGATACTGGTCCTTTTGGGTCTGGCCTCTTTCATTTATCATAGTGTTTTCAAGGCTGGCCCCTGTTGAAGCGCGTCAGAACGCCATTCCTTCTCACGGCTGAGGCCTACGCCCTGTACTCGGACCCCGCCTTCCGTTCATCCGTTCATCTGACACTGGGCACTCGGGTTGCTCCTACACCTTGGCCATTGGGAGTGAGCCTCCAGATCTCATCCACACCGGACGCCGCTCCCTCCCAGCTGGGCTCGGGGTGGCGTCTGGCTGGTGGTGTCTGGACGGGAGTGAGGGACTGACCCCAGACGGCTGGGCCCCAGGTTGGGGGAGGGCTGCTGTAGACCTCCCAGGAAACAATGTAACACGGGAAATATGGTGACGGGAAGGTCAGCCTTAAGCTCACCAGAGCAAAGGAAACACGTTCCCAGGGCTTACGGGACCTGAGTGCAGGCGTATTAATCCCCTGCTTCGGCTCTTTGAAGGGAAGTGGCTGTCCCCTTCCAAGACAGCGTCACCTGTGCCCTTTGGGTTGCTCCGCCCACAGGTGAAAATTGCATGTGGCAAATGCACTGGGAGCCGTGCCCTCAGAGGAGGGGGCCCACAGGTCTTGGTGACAGATATTCAGGAACAGATGAAAGAGGGACGAGAAGGGATTCCAAAGGAGGCGAGGCCACGGGGAGAAGTGAGCAGGGACCTGAGGCCCGGCCAGCCCAGACCTGAAACATTAGCCATAAATTAAACGGGGAAACTTGACCTCACTTTTATTCCCGCACTCACTCCCCTTTCTGCTGAGTTCTGCACGGGCTCGGGTCGTAAATCTCTGAGAGCCTCACATTGCCCTGGACACGCTCACTGTTTGGTTACGCGCTTCCACTGTGTCCCTCCGGGGGCAGAAAGAAGCCAGGCTCGAGGTGGGCAGGAGCGGAACATGCACAGGCCAGAGCCTGTCGGGGCCCCGGGGACGTGTCCATGGGCCACCGAGAGCTTCAGGGCCCGCTGGAGTCCAGCTCTGTGTGGGCAGGAAAACTGAGCCGTCTGCTTCCCCCAAAGAAAAGCAGGCATCTCTCCGGTGTGGGGATGAAAGAAGCTTCCCAGACCCTTCGGACGAAAACTTCCAGAACAACAGCCCTGGACGTGTAAATGAATCAGAAACACGTGTATTAAGTTTCTCATCAAAGTGCACATGGCTGTAAAAAACCGAAGGCGGGGGAGGGCCTGGCAGCGTGCCCCCTGGTTTTTTCCAGCCCTCCAGTGTCTGAGGACCTGTCAGGGGATCTGCCAAACCCCAAACACCGCGCGGCCCCCGCACCCCCAGCAAAAGCACCAGCTACAGTTTCAAAGTGAAAGACCACAAAACCCCCGTGAACCGAATTTCAGGTTACGCTGAGTTCAGCTGTGTCTGGGGTTGTGCTGGGTGGGGGGCCGCTGCCCCAGTGACTGGGGGCCGCGGGACTTCCGGCCAGGCCCTCGCCGGGGCTCCTGGGGTTAGATGTGGGAGCTACCATCGCCGACCCCTCCCCAAGGTCGTGCTGACCGCTCCCCGCACCAGGGCTGGGCCAGCCTCTCAGTCCCTGGCCCCTCGGTCTTTCAAAGACCATGGGCCTACCACACACCGAAGGCCCGAGTGGGTGTAAGGAATTCCCAGTGCATTTCTGGCCCCTCCATAAGCACCCTCTAGATGACCGGGAGTTTGGAAAAAGCCTCCAGGCTCCCCAGGAAGCCTGCCGGGGCTCGGCAGGAGGCACGGCCTCTCTGGTGGGGACAGGAAGTCATCCTCAGGGTCACCACCTTTCCCCCCTACTCCCTGGGGGGCACGACCCTCACGCCCTCGCACAGACCAGCGCTGGTGTCGGGAACCCTCTTCCGTGAAGACTCCCTCCCTCTGCCCCGGCTGCAGAGCCGGGCGGGCCGAACAACTAAGACCTGAACTCTCCCCTGGGAGACCCCCTCTTCCCTGTCGTAATCCACCAGGCCTGGGGTGGGGGGTGATAGATGGTCAAAGGAAAACCAGGGGCAAACAAGGGGAGGTCCCCGCCGTTCCTACGATGCTTCTACACAGAGAACTCGGACAGCCCGCAGCTCCCTCTATCCACCGAGACGTGCCTCCGGGATTGGCAGGGACGTCCTCTGTACGACCTGCTCCCGACCCCCCACCCCAGCCTCGGTGCCGCCCGGCCCCCGCCACAGGAAAGTGCTGCCTGCCCGCGTCTGGCCATCCCCTGAGGCGCCGGCCACCCCCCAGAGTTACCTTTACTGCCTGCGTGGGGTTCCCGGGGGCACGGTCACACCCTGTCACGCCCGCCCTCGACCCCTGAGGGTTCGGAGGGGCCTGGCGATGAACTGGACCGATCCGCGTCTTCCCTTCCACCTCTAACCAGGGGGACTTGCTTTTCTTCATAAATGGTTAAAACGACCAGTTTTATGTTATGTATATTTTGCCACAGAAAAGTGACTAAAATCAACAAATCCCAGCTGCAGGATACACAGAAAACACAGGGATATGGACTTAGATGCAGATAAACATAGACGTGGGTCAGGGTGTGGATACAGATTAGATACAGATATTTAGATATAGTTACAGATATTTCCTCTGCGGAAACTTGGCTACGCCCCCCCGGAGCTGGGGCTCTGAGCGCTCTGGTCAGTGCAGCCGAGGAGCCTTCTAAGAGGTTGGGAGGTGAAGGGACCCCCATTGCTGGTGTAGCAGCTTTTTACCTTTACAAATGCTTCCCATCTGTTACCTGACTGCACCTTTCCTAACCGCCCTGGGTAGCAGGGCGGGTGGGGGCAGGGCCGTTGTTTTATATATATAATTTATCTATCTATCTAGATAGACAGACATCAGCCTGGAGACTCCTCAGTCCCGTCTGTCACTGGTTCTTCCTTCCTCACGTTCCCCGCTGTCTCTGATGACAGTCCCAGGTTGGCGGGAACTCCCTCGGAGGACAGGAGTCAGGACAGCTGGGAGAGACGGTTCTGGGGACACTGTGCCTCAGCCTCCCAGCCAGACCCAGACAGGGCACCTGGCGCACCTGCAGTCACAGCTCCCCCGGCCACCCGGCCCCGCCCTGAGGCCCGTCACGTGTCCGCTCCCCCCCCCAGCCCTGCGGTGGCTGTCGTGGCCCAAACGGCCTCCCGCAGCCCGAGTCCAAAGGGCCCCCCGCAGCACAGGCGACTCAGTGCAGAAACCCGTTTGCTTCAAAGTCCTCCAGACCGGACAACGACACAAGGCGGAATCCCGACACCGCGAGCCGCCAAGGGGGCTGCCTGGTGCCCACGCACGTGTCTCCCACTGAAACCCCAGGGAGAGAGCGAAACCGCAAACGAGAGTCTGAAGGCACCTGCACGCTGAAGAGGCCGCCACGCCCAAGGATCAGGCCGACTTCTCTTCGAGTCCTGACCGGACTTCGCTAAAACCCCTTTGTGAGTCGCCTGCCCGGTGTGGCAGATTCCCTGCTCATCTGCGTCCGACAGAGCGGCCTCGAGGGGCCCCTCTCCACCAGCAGTGCCTTCCGAGCTCCTCGGCGGCGGCAGGTGCCCAACTCACCTGGAATCCAGGAATATCAGCTTCAGGTCAAGGCTGGCCCTGAACATGAACATGTTGCTGTGCAGCTTGATCTCAGTGATGGCGCTGGGCGGCAGCGACTGGCCCACGGCCACCAGCCCCACGATCTGGTAGCACGAGTCGTACAGGGACATGTCCAGCATGTACTGCCTGATCTTCAAGTAGCCGCTGCAGTGGATGACCTGGGAGGGCAGAGGGCGGGGTCAGCCAGCAGCGGCCGGGGTGGCCCGGCACCCATTCCTCCCGGTGGGGGGTCTGCCGGGTTCCCCAACGTGCTGGACGGCCCCCAGCCCGGCCCCACTGAGCGGCGTGGCCAAACGCCCCACGCGCTGCTCGGGAGGGGCGAAGCCGTTCTTCTTTCTTAAGAAAGAGCATCGCGATACAAGGCGAGGGTGGTCCTCCCTGACTCTGTTCGCAGAACTCCACGAGTCAGGGCTCTCTGACGTGAGACAGATTTACACGTGATCAACTCATCGCCTCCCTTCCAGTAGATGGCGCCACCGCGGGTTACTGGGGAAGCCGATGTTTGTCCGGTCCTGTTCCCTTCCGCCGCTCTCACGCTTCTCTCCCGCTGGGACCGAACTTGGCATCTGTTAACTCGACATTGATACCACCTGACGAGCTTTAGCATCCCCGTAAATTCAGAATTCTCTCAGTAGAATCGAAAAAAGCTTCATTTCAAATACGGTTTTATTTTATTTATGATTCAAGGTTGTCTCCCCTTGTAATGAGCAAAAGCCAGAGCGACTGTCTGGAAATGTTTCTGTCACAGCCAGAAACCACGCAAGGGACTCCGTCGAGGGTTCCAACGGCGCACAGGGACATCGGTGGGGCCTTAGGCCTCCATTCTGGGGGCATTTGTACCAGTGACAGTCAGAAAAGCTCAAAAGCCTCGCCGTCACCTGTGACAGCGGTGACGAGGGCCCTTTTCAAAAGTCCCCTCCAGGATTCCCGCACAGGGGCGCAGCCCCCCCAGCAGGGACAGATCCGTAAGTGCTTCCAGTCTACTCTCCCGGGTTACAGATGAGGAAGCTGAGGGCAGCACCGGGGGGGGGGGTGTTTCGCTTAAGATTCAACAGTTAGCAAGCGGCAGAAAGGATGCGAGACTCAGGTGTCCAGGTGGGTGCGGGCTGGGGCTGGGGTTCCCCGGCCCCCACCCCGGCCCAAGCAGGCGGAGAGTCCGGGGCAGCAAACAGAAGCGTACCCTCCGGACTGGAAACCTGAGTGAGATAAAGTCAAGGGCAAGTGCTCGGAGCGGGGCTCCAAGGAGGGGCCTGAGGAGACACGGGGGGGGGGGCGCCGGATCCCGGGATGGGGGGAGGTGGGGCGTTCCAGAAATAGCACAGAGTCAAAGTCGTGAGGGCGCCAGACTGTCCCCTTTCTCTCGCCCCGCCCCGACCTGCCTGCCTTTTCTGACACTTAAACACTCCGGCAGAAACACCACCATCGCCTCCAGCTCCAGAAGGGCTGGGAGGGTCGAAGCGGGGTGATCAGCTCGGACACCCCCAACCTGCCCTTCTCTCCGGGAGCAGCCGACTCTGATGCCGAGGCTCAGTGTTGCCCACGGGCTCTTTGTGTGAGCAACCCCTGGATGCTGGAGTCAGCCATGGCCGGGGCCGCGTCTGGCCGAGAAGCTGGCCAGGAGGGAGCCGGGGCTGCTCTCAGAGGTGCCGGCCCGCCTCTGTGCTTGTCAGCTGGTGCCCTTGACCTCGGACCAGGGCCAATCCTACTCCCTGGGAGGCTGCTCTATCAGATCATCCAATTAGACTGTGAGGCTGCAGACGACAGCACCACTCTGCACTCAGAACGGGCTGTGCTACCGCCGTCTTGCAAGGCACTGTCCTGGTCTCCGCACCTGGTCAAACATTCCCATACCAGTGACATTTCAGCGCTCTGGACGCCCTCTGTGGGCTTGGACCCTGCCCCAAAACAAGGGCTCTCGGTTAAGTCGAGGGCAGCAGCCTGAGCTGAGTGCAGAGCTGAACCTGCAGGTGCCAAGGCCACGTGGCCCCCTGAGCCGCCTGCACTCCTAGTCTCATTGGATGAATGTTCTCCCAAGACGCCGGCCCTCACGCCTGCCAGTTGAGCTGCATCACCAGAAAGTTCCACGGTCGGAGGTGGGAAGGGTTTGAGCCTCTGTGCCTTCCTGTTCGTGGGTATGAAGCAAAACACACCACAGGGATGGCCCCGGGCCTCCCCCCATGCTGCCCACCCGCCCGCCTCCCTGGCTCCCGTACCTTGTATCCGCTGCAGGTCAGGCCCGCGTTTCTCTTCGCCAGCACGCACTTCATTCGGAGGAAGAACGACCTCTCCATCTCGTACTCTGAAAGCAGGGGTCAGGTTAGACGGGCCGATGTCCCGCCACGCTGCCCGGCTTCCTTCCAGCAGCCCTGGCAGACCCTCGGGACCACAAGGGGCAGCCGGGCCTCCCCGGCCCAGAGGGCCTCGCCTGTGGCCGGGGCCTGGGTGGGCGGGGGAATCGGCCCGTCCTGGCGAGACTGCCAGGTGCCCGTGAGGAGGGCAGCTCGAAACAAGGCCAGAGAGAGAACTTGGGGACAACCAGCCTGGGGTCACAGCACAGACTGAACGGGCAGTGGCTCCGAGTGGCAGCCACAGAGCGGCCTGGGGTCAGGAGCAGCACCTCTCGCACCTGCGTCTGCGAGGAAGAACCAGACGCAGCGACTTCCCTCGGGGAGGCGGAGTCAGGACAGGTCGTGAGCGCGAGGGAGCCAGCTCCCGTTCCTCCCGCCAGCCGCGCCGTGGGCGCCGAGGCCGCCCAGCAGGGTGGGGCGGACAACAGCGCCCAACGGACCCACTGGGCCAGACCGAAGCTTCTGCCCTCGGGAAGAGCCCCGGACAGACGGCCCTCCCGGTCACGGAGTGACGCCCTGTCTGTGCTGCCGCAGTGCTCACCACGGCTGGGACCCGATCTGCCAGGAGGCAGGCTGCGCCCCCGGGGGAGCCAGGCTGGAGGGATGGACCTGCCGGTGTGCAGACCTGGCCTTCCGGACGGCTCCAGGCCACGCCGAGACCTACCCGTGCCATGACATAAAGTGTGGGAGGTGACAGATGGACCTGTCCCAAACGTGCGGAAACAGCTGTTACAACAGCGACGTGGGCAGTGACGTGCTCGCGAGTGTGCTGCTTGACTCATTCGTAGGATAACGCGGGCCCGGGGCAGGGTCTCGGAACTCCCGGAATTTCAAAGCACCGAGTGTCACTGGAGGACACGGCTTTCCCTCTACCATCTGGAGACCCAGAAATGCTGAATTCCAACCAGGGGTGTGGTGAGTAGTTTCCCCATCCGGTTTCTCGAACTCCAGCTCTGCCCTTGGGCCCTTTGGGGGAGAAGCCCAGGCCTGGACCCGTGTGGCCCCAACTCGGAACCCAGTGCACCCGTCAGGGGAAAGCCTTCGGCCACTCTCTGTCTCCTCCCCAGCCACCATCACAGTCTCTAGCACCTGGTGGGCACTCGTCGGTGGTGAGTTGAAGAACCGAGGCCTAAACACCAACCCCCCTGGGTGGGCGCAGCGTGTTTGCCGGAGGCCCAGGCGGGGCAACGAGGGAAGCAAAACCCTCGGGTCACAGCCAAGAGCATCGCCTGGTTTCAGGCTGGTTTCTTTCCTCTGGAGGAAATAAATACCTTGGAGCAGGTGGTGGTGAAGAGGCTGGTGGGCTGCAAGGACAGCCGTCATCTCGTCGTGGTCGGAAGGATGGATGTACTCATAAATGCTGTTGCCTGTGAGCTCCACCTGCCGCAGGAGGAAGGGCGGGGTCAGAGTCCTCGCCAGGACGGCAGGGCAGGGCAGGGGGACGTCCTGTGTATCACTGCCACGTACCCGCCAAGGACAGGACTTCGATCTCGGTGGACAGCCCACACCCTCTCCAAGCACAGAGACACTTTTCTTTTCCAAAACGTCTCCCACACTTTCCAACAAGGCCAGAGAGGGCCGAGCTGAAAGTGGAGAGAGTCCCCAGCAGGGGCAACGGGAAAGTGAAGGATGACAAAGGTGCACCCTGGCATGGGTGACCCTGCTGGTCTGGTCAGCGTCCTTCAGAAAGGAGACAACTTAAAACAGGCTGCAGCCCGTGCTCCATGCTGCCTGAGGGGACTGGTCGGCCGAGGCCCAGCCGCCTGTCCCGAGTGAGGTCCCAGAGAGCTCCGTCCACTCAGAGGCTGAGAGGCAGGAGCCGCGGGGCCCCCTGCACTGGAGGAGGACGTGTACCCCAAAAGGCCCTTTCTCTGGGCAGTTCTGCCCCTCAGGCTCTGCCACAGAAACCTGTCTCTGAACTTCCCAGTCCCAGTGACTTGTGCTGACCTGTGGATTCCACTCATGTGTGCAGCTGGTGGACCACCCTGGGGAGCTACGTGACCCTCAGTTTGACACCAACTACTTCCAGACGCACCCCACAGAGGGCAGGCACCCAAAGGCCACATCCACTCTGGACAGGCCCCTGCTTAGTAGGGGTCTTCACACCACGGTCCCCGTGACCCAACTCCTGACCCCGAGGAGTTTCCCGTGTCCTCCCAAACGCACGTGCCATGGCAGCCTGACAGAGCCTCAAAGCCTGGTCCTCTCACCCCCCACGAGGTGGGCAGCGGCAAACAATGTTCTAGCAGCCACGGCTGTCAGAGCAGCCTTCTGAGCAGAGGTGGGCGGGCCCTACTGCAGGGGTGAGCCCAGGCACCCAGCGTTGATCGGGGGCACCCAGGGCAGCGACGGGCCTTCCAGCACAGCCAGCAGGAGCCCCCCCAAAGCCTGGCGTGGGAGGAAACTCAAAGCCAGGGACTCTGCCTTAGGGTGGCAGAGACCCCGGGGTGCGTCCGAGGACCTCTTTCCGAGCCCTGCTCCAAGGGGGGCGGGGGCAAGTTTAAGCAGAAGCAGGCTGGCGAGCTCCTTGTCCCTGACCACCCCCTCGGCATTTATTTTTAAGTGGGTCACGCCGCGTGTTCTGCTGGGAGCCGGCCGCCCTCAGTCAGAGCAGAGAGGACGTCACTTCCTGCCATGCGGCAGCCCTGACTGTGCCACCTCACGCCACCGGACCACCGGGCCCACGGGGCAGATGGAGAATGTCCCCACCACTCCAAATCGGCCTGGAGGCCGGCGCGGCTCTGCTGGGGGCCCAGCCACCCCACCCCTCAGAGCCAGGTCTTTCAAGTCATTTACGTGTGAGTGGCCTTTTTATTCAGAACAAATTACGTGTCTGGCCTGCTTAGTGAGCTGGCCCCCAAAACACTGCTCACAGTTCTCCTCTCCACGTTCGTCACAGAATGTCTCCTTCCAACATCATGCAAACGGAGCAACCAGAGGCGCCTCTTGCAGAAACCGCCCCCGCTTGGCCCCCCAACCCTGGCACTGCCCTACTGACCCAGAGGGCACGCGCCCGGACAGAACGTTGTTACATGATGCCATCAAAAATGTGAGCGATGAAAACGAAGCACTCCTCCGTCAAGTCATTCTCTTAGTCCTCACATGTGAGTAAACCGGCACCGTGTCCGCCAGGCCTTCTGGACGGGACAGGGCCTTCTCTCCTAGGGCCAGTCATACAGATGGCAGGGGACAGGGGCCAAGGCTGGTACATGAGGGAGTGATTTCTTAAATCGGTCCCCAATGTCCATGACTTACTTGAGAAGTGAAAAAATATATATAACCAAATTGAATTGGGGGGGATCGGCCTATCACTTCTCCCCTACCTTCATTTTTAGCAGGGGAAACATGATTGTCCTGGTTTGCTCCAAATCCTTGTTCAGAACAAAGTAACTGATGTCTCTTTAGAGAAACAGCCTTAAATACTTGCAGAAAAGGTCTGCATCCCTACTCAACGGGGATTTCACAACCTTTTAACCCCAAAGGAGCTTCATCTGATTTCAGAGATGCCCCCCTGGGCATTGGGGGGATGAGAACAAAGAAGGCCCAGGAGTTAAAGGCTTGATTTTCTGAACACTCGGGTCAGTTATGAAACTCGAAGGCTGTCAAGGAGGTAAAGCCGTCTTCAAATAACGGAAATGTTTCTAAAGAACAAATTAGGGCATGATAAAAGAGGGCTGGCCTTGACTCAAGATCAGGCCGACATGCTGTTTCCTGTATTTACATATCCATCCCTGCTGGTGAACGCCGGGAGAAAGAAACGTGACTACCTCAAAAAAAAATTATGGTCGTTGCTATAAAACTCTTCGGGTCCCATACATCAGCCTTATTAAAACAGACCCTCCATGTGATATTTTAGCATTGGTAAAACCCTGGTAACTACAAAATGAATTGCTTTCCTACTAAGAGCTTTTTTATGTTTTGCTGAATAGCTTTCCTTCCTGCCAAGAAAACTGCACAGGATACACACAGCCCTAAATGGATACATTCTGGGTCGGAAGGGAAGCCGCCCCGCACTCTGAAAACGCACACTGCTCTGCGCTGGCTGTTTGGCTGACTATGGCAAATTAAGCATTTCCAAATAAGACGGTTTGGGTTTCAGGGTTCGAGTTATGTCAACAAACATAAAACGCTGTCCCTTCTCTTTATTTCAAAAGTGAAAGGATTAGGTCTTATGGCCCCAGACGATGCCGTGGGTACTTTGACGGCTGTGCTTCCGGCTGAAAACATTCCAGTTCCTTTCCGCGTCTTGTGAACGGCTACTTCGTATGTATCTATATTTATTTGAAAGTGTGTATCATTTACCTAGATGCCTTACGGTGTGGGTGTGTGCAACTTCAGTGAGGAAATTTAAACCACATGGATACTTAAAAATGATCAAGGTCATACGCAGCAGGGAAACAAAGCTTTCTTTCCCTTCTTCAAATACAAGTTAATTATATTAACCCCCAAAACATGGAATTAGACCACTTACCAAACCTGCATGAATACAGAGTGTGTCTCTAATCTGCCTCTCCCGAACAGGTCCGTGTGTCTGTGTGAATTATTATGTGTGACCAAAGTGTGTCCACGGAGTAGGGCCTCTGAGCCAGAAGCCCGACTCCGTCTCCCACTGCGTGGAACGTGGGCTGGGGAGGAAACCTGCACTTGTGGTGGTCTCCGTCATCTCTGGTGTGAAAATCTGACAGCAAGGACTGCTGTGTTCACTCATTAAAAAGTAAAAACAAACTTTACAAATTCTCCAGGTAAGTTCATCACCAAGCCCTTATTTTATGAAATGTTAAAGGGACTTATCTAAGAAAAAGAAGATTAAAAAACCATGTATAGTAAAATGACAGCAAACTCACGATTATTAACAACCACACCTAAAACATAAACAAAAGCAAACGACTAGAACAAGAACAGAACCACAGAAATGGAGATCACATGGAGGGGTAGCAACAGGGGAGTGGGAGGAGGAAAAGGGGGGAAAAGGTACAAGAATAAGTGGCATAGACAGTAGGTAGAAAATAGACGGGGAGGGCAAGGATAGTGTGGGAAATATAGAATCTAAAGAACTTGTGACACATGGACATGAACTAAAGGGGGGGAATGGTGGGGGTGGGGGTGTGTAGGGTGGAGGGGAATGAAGGGGGGGAATAGAACAACTGTAATGGCATAATCAATAAAATATATTAAAAAAATTTTACCAGATAAAGTAGATCTCTTACTCTAAACTTTTTTAAAAAGTTTAATAAAATACTTTGAATTGAGATGGGCTATAAATAACACATCATTTTTACACCCTCAAATAGATCATTGTGATGGTTATTTAGGTAATTCAGGTAAAAAAAGAAGAAGAAGACTCTGCTATGAATTTTCACACCGTTATGCCTTATGTTCCCTGAGAGCTGCTAACATAAGGTTTAGCCCTGAATTAATGTGAAAGATGCCATTATTTAATGAGACAACGTCCTTCAGAGCCATTGAAAGTTTTTGGAACAGAGGACGTCGCTGTGTAGATGTAACCAATTACTACTATCGCTGTTCATCAGGAAACCTGTTTAATTAAAGGTTACTCTTAGACCACTGGGTAATATTTTCTTAACATGTTTTATCTCTGGTGAGTTAAAAAAATCTTCAACCCTACTTTAACAAAGTTGCCATATCTGATATATTTGCCTGACTTCTTTCCTCCTAACAGAATAATCTAAGAGCAAAATTTTTTTTTAAAAAGAGAGAAGCTGGGTGTTTGACATCCTCTTCAAAACTTTCTTTTACGACTTAAGTGAAGAAGACAGAAAAAAACACACAACGGTGATTCTGCCTAGCTCTCCTCTGCGGGCTAATCTGGAACAGGGGGCAGATTTGAGGGGAAGTGTTTGCTGTTGCTTATTTAAACAGTTCGCCACGAAACATTCCCCAGACGCTAGGCTCACTTCTGCACTGGCGTGTTTCTGTAACTGCAGACTGATACCGAGGGGTCCTGCCAAGAGAGCAGGAAAAAGCACTCGGTTGTCCTGCACAGTGTGATGTTTCTTTCTCCACTGACACTTCTCCTGAAACAAAGAGGCAAAAGGCATCTCTGTAACTTTCTGGAAGAATGTTAGTGACAAACACCCTCCCCTTTCTAAATTAATAGCGCGACATTTTATTTCTGCATTTTGACCAAACGTAAGTGCAATTTTGATTGTGATTCTGCGGGGATGTCCTTTCATGGGGGTGATCGTGAATGGGAGGCATAGCTGCCCCCCCCCCAATCCTCTGGTCATGTTTAATGAAAGAGAAACGTGACAGAGAGGGATGCGGGTGTGAGGCATAGCCGCGTGCCCAGACTGGGGCGCGCCGGCCTGTGCACAGGGCCTCCCGGGCCCCAGGACACCCAGAGTGCCTCACCGCCCCGTGTGCCCCCAGAGGGTGGCATCTGAAGCAGGTTTCGTGCATTCGAAGTGCGATTCTGATGAGACAGTGATGCTGCCTGGCTTCTGTGTGGCTCCGTACAGTTTGCGAGTCACATACAACGAGCACTTCGATTTGTTTTTTACCACAAGCCTGAAAGACGGGTGTATTGGGAAGTATTTTCTTAAGTTATCGTTCAGAGAGGTTACATACCTGCCCTATCAGACAACAAAAGCCACGTGACTAAATGCATTTCACTCTTTGCTTTGACTGCTAGGAAGCTCGGATCTAAATTTAACATTCCATAACAGTAACTTTACCTATGCTAAGATACGTTTGACCAGCTATTTTCTTTTTCCAAAAGATGTTGTTTTTAGAGAGAGGAGAGGGGAGGGAACGAAACATTGATCCACTGCCTCTGTCTTGACCGGGAATCGAACTGGTGACCCTTCACCTTGAGGGATGACCTTCAACCCACTGCACCACACCGGTCAGGGCTTGACCACTCATTTAAAAAACATGCGAAATGTTCCTCTGGTCTGTGACATTATCATAGAACTAAGCAAAGGCTTTATAAATCTTGATTGAAAAAGCTAAGTAATCTGATTAAGGTTTATCAGCCAAAAACCCAGCCTGGAGTAGAAACCTGGATGGGTACAACTAAAGGGTCCTACGTAATTCTAAATAGGGCAAGGTAAAAATTCAGAGAAAAATAACTTTGCAAAATACACAAAAAAATAGTCCACGCGATGTTCCCAACCGTATTTTCCACGTTACAAGTGCACTACTGGTGTAAGTCACGGGGCACAAGAGCCTCAGTGGGTCTTACCTGGGAGACCTGGTTTCATCAAGAAGAGAAGAGGAGGAGAAAAGAAAACACCCAACAATTTAAACAGGAGCCTTAAAGGACTGTGCCCGAGAAACCCCCAGGCACAGGGGTGAGAGCAAACACCCACTGGGAGAGAAGGCTGTGAGCAGATGAGAAGTTTAACCCATTATGGACAGGCAGGAAAAGGAAAGGGACCACCAGATGCTCCTTTCCAAACTGGCGGTTCTGTTTCTCAATGAGAAGCCCGAGCCACTTCAGTGGCATGTTTTGTTTTGGCTTAACTACACAAAGAGGCCGGAGCATGCGGACTATTCACCAGCCTCCTGGGAGCCCATTTCCTGCGTCTAATTAATTCTGGTGCGGTGTAAAAGGGCGCACTGATGATTCGCAACGTAAAGACGCATTTCGTCCCCGTGCGGACAGAAATGTGCCTTTCAGAACCACGCTCCACACCTGTTAAATCAGAAATATGAATGGCAACGATCGGACTCCCCCACCCGGAGACCCACCGGTCATCACCCCCCGCTGCTGCAGCCAGATTCTCTGCCAAACCCTGGCCGGACGGGGGCACGTAAAGCTGAGTGCCATTCTTTCCTCCAGGGGGTGAGCTCCCTTTCAGAAAGTGGTTCCAGAAAAATCAGTGATATTTATTGTATGTTCTAAAGAAACCAGGACCTTGCTGGGCAAAACAGTAGTAAACTCAGTTTTATGAGTTTCTATCACAAGCATATAAAATGCTTTACTGAAACGACCACTGAACTGGAAAAACTCAGGAAAAATTACCCCGAATTCCATGTGAACACTCATAAATCTGCCCCCCTTTTCCCTCCCCAAAGCACGTTCTGCATCCAATCCACACTTGCCACCAGCTTCCCTCTGGTCTGCAAGGCCACTCACAGCACCGTGTGCAGGGCAATTTCGGGTTCTGCTCCTACACAGAAGCAGATGCGTGAACACACTCGTGTTGGAGCTGGGCAAGGCTGCCAAGACCCGCCAACACTTCATGTTCGAGCTGCACGTGAAATTATCAGGTACCGCCTACCTGGGACAAGCCTAAATGCACAGAGGCTGTTTCCGATATGTACATGATCTTGCCATCCGATGCTACCACAAAAACAAATCCGTCCAAAGTCTGGAAAAGAAAAGGAGCCAGGGTAAGAGATGATAGTTCCACGCCCGTGTCAACTCTCATAACTGTGCTCTGGCTGGGATGGAGAACTGCATAAAATATCATCACCGACACACATTTGTCAAATGCAAAACAAACAAACAAACAAACAAACAAAAAACCCAGAGCCGGGGGCCATAAGGATTGTAAGTTACACCACTCGGCAGGCTTTTAATGCTGTTAAAGCACTGTAAAAAACAGTCTTCCACGCACATCACAAAAATCATGCAAAACATTGGAGAATTCCTATCATACCCAGTTTAAACGGAGTGGCTTTATTGTTTGGAGTTATTTTAGCACTTAGCACAAATCCGGAGTTCTATGGTACTTAGGGGACAATCTACCGCTGTCCAGGCCGCTTTGTGCCGTAATTGGCAGTGTTTATACCACTAGGACATACACTTTATTTGCCACAATTTTCTAGTTACCCCTAAGTACCGTTTGAATAATAAATTCCGAGCACTAACACTCCCCAGAAAAGAAAATACCGGGTTATTTGAACAGACCACGTCTACAGAATTAATTATTTCGCGTAACCTTTGCAAAATTCAAAAAGAAAGAGTATCAATTTCTGAAAAATTAAAACCACCTACGTGATATTCTGATTTGCCGAACTTGGCCAGCCCTCAAAAAAGTAAAGTAAAATTATGAGAGGCAATTAAAACAAATAAAAAGGTACTGGATGTATTGATGTGTGGCAAGGATAAAAAGGCTAAGTTATTTTTGAGAAAGGAAACTGTATTTTATTCACCCATTCATATTTTAGATCCAGAACCAATGGAAAGCAATAAAATCAGTGAAAGATCTATACAACCCACAATGCTGCCCCCATAAAAAATATTCCAAATTAATTTCTGGCCACAAATTCTATTTTTATAGCATGTAATTGAAACCAGATTACCTTCAGTTTTTCTACATCCACCCCCTCGTTGGAGGGGGGCCTAAAAAGAATGTAGCAGAAACGAAACATAAAAGATGCCCTTACGTTCTACTCTCTCAAGTAGAGTTTTGCTGCAAAAGTTCTTTGCCGACTCAACTATCATTGCCTTTCCCTCCCCTGAGGTTGAAATCAACATCTCAATCTGGAGCCTTACTTTCTCGTTTCTAACTCGGCTCCAAAGTATCTTCCTAGCTGAACTCCGTTTCAAAAGTATAAACCACACCGCAGTTTCTAAAGTGATCAACGTTGGCACATTCTGCATCCTTGCTTAACTCCAAAATCCTTAAAGAGATACATTTAATGACATCCTCTCTTCCGGTGAGCCGTATGAGTAAAAGGGAAAAAATTATCATAATCGAATTCTGAAAGTTGCCAGCAGTAGCTAAAAATAATATCCTTAATGGAAAATGTTGGGTTCAGACGGGTTCACAGCCTCATACTTTGCTCGCCTGTGTGTTGACTGCAAAGGGGCCCTGCCCTCACCCACACCGCTGTGGGGTTAATTAAAGAAACTTCAGACAGAGGAACCTGAGGATGTTGACTTTGCCGCCAGGTTTTTAGGGCACTTAGTTGTCCCCGACATCAGTGTCACTTATAATATGCAGAAGTATTGAACATGCAAAATCCCGTGCTCCGTGCAGGAGGTGAGCCCGGGCGGGGGGGTGGCGAGGGGTGCCCGGAGGGGGGCACTCCAAGGGCACCCTCCCCCGGCCCACCACACCGTGAGCTTTCTGTTGTAAAAGCCTCGGGTTTCAAATATTCCCCAGATCTGCTCTTCCAGAGCGTGCATTTTTAAAAAATAAATCACATGAGGACATTCGGGGCAAAAGGGTTTTGAAAAGATCTGCTTTTTCAAGACGCCGAGCTCAGGGCTGACTCTGACCCAAGCCTCTGCAACCTGCCGCCAACTTTTTTTTTCCTTTTAAAGAAAACACAAAATAGAAGAAGGAAATGCAAAGGAGCTCTCGGTAGGCATTTTTCCGTGGCAGAGACAAATGACGGGAGGGGGGAATGAATCGGGTCGTTGATAAGGCTCTGTAAAGGGCATTTGAAAGACTCCGAGACCGGAGGCATTGCTGTCCCCACCTAGCGCCAGCCACCAACTTGGAATTGGCCCTGGAATGGAGGGCAGTGCACACAGCCACTGCCCACGCCTCAGAGTCTGTGGGGGAAACCGGGGGTCAGGGGTGCTTTAACAAGGGAGGCCTGAGTGGCTCTGGGCTGGGGGCGCTGAGTGGTTAACCACAAACCAAGCAAGGGCTGCCTGAGCCAGGCGACTGCGGAGACTGCACCAGATCCTGGGCCTAAGACTCAAGAGCTAGGCCATTTGGATTAAACAAGGCTCTACCACTTGCTGTGTGTCCTCAGGCATGTTGCTTAACCTCTCTGTGCCTCAACGTTCTCCTCAAGACAAGAAAAATGCAGTTAAGAATAGAATGCCTTCTGAGTGGGTGGTTGAAGCCAGATGAAATAGTAAGATTTAGAACAGGATCTAGCCCGCAGTAAACTCTTAATAAATGCCAGCTGTTAATATCGTATTGGTGATGCTGTCTCTCCTTTGTTGCAACTCTTCCAAACACACACAATTATCAGACGCTGGGAGCCGCCCCACGCTTGCTCCGAGCACCCTGGGCTCATTCCTTCTCGGGCCCCAGCACCTGGCACAGCGAATAGCACAGAGTACACACTCCATAAAAAGTCTGCAGGGGGAGGTTAGGGCTGGAGAGGACTTAACCACGCCCAGGGCCGCCTCACTGGCCTCGGTCTGGTGGGCTTCAGTCCCGGGGGGGGGGGGGACGGCAAGGGGCTGAGTAGGCGTGGGGCCAAACGGGGTGGCTCTGGTGGAGCTGAGTCCGTACAGATCCAGACCTGGGAGGGGGCGGGGGCCAGCGGGTAAGGAAATCGCTTGCCCCGGGTCTGGGCACTGTCTCCGGGCGAATGCGGCAGCCTGGTGGCAGTCTGCGGATCCACCCAGCGCGGTCACAGGAGGGAAACCTCAAGGCAGGGGTGTCAGGGCGCGGCCCGGGGCTGCTGGCCTCCTACCTGCAGCAGGTGCGACCCTAGCTCCTTGGCAACACTGTCCAGAGGCCCGGCGCGGCTCGGCTGTCCCCACGCATCTCCTAAACCTGGGCAGGGCAATAAAGCAAATCAGTTAACGGCAGCGCCTGGCCAGAGCTGGGGCGGCAGAGCAGGAAGTGTAAATCCCCCGCACCCAGTGCTCAGGCCGTTCCCCTCCGCCCCCCTCCCCTCCCGCTCAAGCCCCAGCAACCCCTTTGCCCTCGACTAAAAAGAAAAAGGCCAGAGGCAGAATTCCCCATGAGTCTAAGTCCCTGGCGCTGAGGGAAGCGCTGAGCCCGCCGGGCGAAGCTCTGGTGGGTCGCCCACGTGCTCCCCACTCTGAAATTGCCGTTTTATTATTTGCAATGCCACAGAGTAATCTAATCTACTTTGTTGAAATCGGCCATCCTCGTAGCCACGCGGGGATACTGATTTGGCCCATAAATATTCCCCCAAGAACGCCCCCTCCCTTCCTCAAGTCGCCGGCAACTGTGCATTTCCCCAAAGACAGAGAGGCCCAGACCAAAAATCCTCACGTCCAGGAGGCAGCTCTCCTGCATCAAAAAATAAAACAAAATAAAATAACCATTTTCAACCTCAGTAACGCCGGGCTCCAGCTCTAACGGGCGCCCCGGGGGTGGGCACCATCCCCTCCCAATCCGGGAGCTGCAGCCTGGGGAGGATTTACCTGGGGGTCTCCCGGGGAGCGAACTCCAGACTCGAGGACTGCGGGACTGGGCTGCCCCAGAGGCAGCGAGAGACCGTCTGTGCTCCGCGGTGATGGAGAGGTGTAGCTGCCACACAATTAGGGTCCCCTAAGCCCCGCCGTTTCCTAACTGCCCCCACTCCAGGCCTCCTGCTCCTCCCCATCACCTCCCGAAGGCCAGCGGCCCTGCAGAAAGCGCACCCGAGGAGAGAACGCCCTTCCCAGCACAGTCTGCCTCTCCTCCTGCAACCCCAGCTCAGCGGCTGTGACCCCGGAGCTCCCGGGCTTCCTTCTGTGGACTCTGGAGGAAGCGGGAAAGGCAACTGAGGTCGCAGTGTTACGCACCACCTGGCAGAACACTCAGCCGGTCCCTGCTGTCCTTCTGTGGGGGCCGGGTCAGCCACCCTCCAGCTCTCACTGCAGCCCCCGACGGGAGGTGGCAAGGGCCGGGACTGCTCTGTCGGCCTGCACCCCATTTCCCTGCATGGTAAATGCACCCCCAGGCTCCAGGCTCACTCGCTCGAGCTACCCACGCTAGCCGCTGACCCCTGCAGGGTGGGCTGTGGGTCCCACTAGGCGTCCACTCCCCCCCCCCCACGGTGAGCTGCAGTCTAGATGGTGCCTGCCTGCTGCGCGGGGAGTGTGGGACCAGACGCCAGAGCAGGATGCTCGGGCAAGGGGCAGGGAGCCCCGTCCAGGCCCCGTGAATTCCAGGGCCGTTCCTGGGATCGATGGCAATCACAAAGCCCCTCTAAGGGCCGCGGCAAGTGAACGGACACAGATGAGGGTCCCACGCAGGAACCTGAGGTCTCCCCACAGTCCCTGCAGGAACCGTGGCAACCGGCTTCTGGTGACTTTGATCCCAGGAGGTGGAAAATGCATCCCCAGCGAGAGGTAGCTGGGGAGTGGGGGTGGCCCTGAATCCCCATCGTGGCTTTGGGGACCCTTCCTGGGGAGCTCCGCTCAGTGAATATAAAAGCAATGACCTTTTACTTCTCCTCCTAGGTTCTAGGAATTAGAACACTTATCCTGGCCTCCCCAGGAGGAAGTGGCTAATTTCCACATATTCCAATCCCCCAGATGTGACGGCAGCCCCTCAGCCTCTGCCCTGTGGACAGAGCTGTCTCTCTAACCTCAGGAACTGCCCGCAGCTGCCACGGCCCACCCCCAGGGACTGCGCCTCTGTCTGTCACCCGCAGACCCTCACTCCTGCAGCCGCCGGGCAGGGGCAGGGCTCACTGCGTCCAACCAGCGCTGGAAAGAACCAGAATGTAAAAGCTCCAAGGCTTGAATGAAGAATTGAATCAAGACCCAGGAATTTCGATTTCTGAAAACAGACAGGTCTGCCCTAAATAACAGTCCTCTGCCTTATTCTGGGTGCTTTTCCAGGTTTGGGCCAAAACACTCTTCCTAGCTCAGTGGTGACAGTGAGTGTGGCCTCCGGGCTGTGACCTGTGAAAGGGCCCATGCTGAGGGACCTACAGAAACCTACCCGGAGGGTAACGACCCCCAGACCACACTCCCCGGCCCAGCTCCTCTAACAGCCGGGCGAGGCTCTGGTCTCACATGCGGAGCTAACGCCCCTGGAGGAGCACTGGGTCCTCGGGGCAATTTTCCGTGAACCCGAACGCCAGACACTTCTGGGATCCTGTTCTCTTACATCACTGCCAGTCTTCCTACAACTTCCCAGTGCCTCTGGTTTGAGGCCGGAGGTTCGGTCCCAATGCTCCTTCCCCACCGAGTGGTGGGGATGGGGGTGGGGGTGACCCTCAAGCATCCTGCCCCATGTCACCTCGCCCTGGGCCACGGGGCTGCCAGCTCTTCCACTAGAAACTGCTGTGGGTGACGCCTTTTCACTTGGCCCGTAAGAGCTGGGACAGAAGGCAGAGGCTAAATAAATTAGGGTTTGTAACAACATGCTCCCCCAAAAGCGAGGCACTGTGTGACCGTGGCCCTCATCTGGACCTGACAAAGGGCAGTGTTTGGAAGTGAGGGGTGGAGGGCAAGGGAGGCGGCAAGCTCCTTCGGGGCATCCGCTCTCGGCGAACTGGCCGCCCTTCCAGCCGGTGACTCTGGGGGGCCGCCGTGTCCCAAACCCAGGCCGTGGCTCCCCAGCCCCCAGGGTTTGGGTCCCACTTGCCCCGCAGGTTTTGGCAGGGGGGTCTGCTGGGACTCCCTGCCACTGGGATGCAGATGGGCAGGTGGGGGGAGGGTCAGCCACCGGCTCAGAAGGAGAGGGATCCCCGCTCCCCTCTGCCTTCCAGGGCTGGGGTGCCTGCACCGTGGTACTCACACTTGGCTGGCTGTTCAGTTTAAACTCACCAGGCCGTCCTGCCACGGAAGCTGCCTGAATATGGTCCCTCCTCCCTCCCGGGTGCTCGGTCAGTCAGTCAGCAACCAGCTCAGGGCCCCCTGCCCTCCAGGCCCAGGTCACAGACCATTAACAGGGGGCCACACAAATAAGACGATTTCCCAGGGAAAGGGACAGGGTGGGGAGGTTCCCTCAGTGTGAGGAGGGTCACACCCCTCAGGTGCGGGACGCAGCTGGTTTGCTCTTTCCTCCGGACCCGGGCGCAGAGCTGGCTGTGGCCCGTGAGCACTGGGTGCAGCCCCAGAGACATGGGCCGGCCTCTGCTTAGAACTCCCGGGTTGGACAGGGACTCTCTGGCTTCCCCACAGCAACCTCGGGTGTCTGAACCGGAGACAGAAACAGTGCTCACTGGGACATTAAATGCGGTCAATAGCGGGGCCCTACCTGCCCCTCCCCCTCCTCGGAGAACTGGGCCTGGGGGAGTGAGAAGCCGGCAGCTCTCCGGGAGCACCCCCACGCCGCCTCCCAGTAAAGAGGCCGGCTGGGCCGGTCTGGACGGTCCGATCTCATGAGGCGAGAGCACCCCCTGAAATGGGGGTGTTGGGGAGTTAAGGGAGCTAGACCCGCAGGCCCAGGGTGAGAGCGGGTTCCAGAGAAAGGCCACCACCCCCTCCCTTCTCTCGCCCTCCCACCCCTTCCCTGCTTCCAGCTTTCTCCTCTGCCTCCCCTCCCCCGAACACTACCTACCCTTTTTTCTGGAAAGGGGGTGTGATATTGGGGAGCTTGACCTCTCTGTGGCTGGGGGCCAGCTGAGGACATGAGATCACACTCCCCAATTGTAAACCACTCCAAAGTCAAGGAGGGAGGTGGGGAAGGGGAAGGACCAACTGGCCGCTGGGCCCTTTTTCTCACAGCTCCCAATGCCTGCCACCCCACCTCCACGTTCAGGGCCTGGGCAACGTCAGGGCGGCAGCCTCGGGGCCCCTCCATGGCTGGGCTCCCTCCAGGGCTAGGCTACCTGGGCACCAAGCCTGGGCGAGGCTGTAAGGCAGAGCAGAGCTTGGGGCTGGCCTTCCTCGATGCTGCAGGAGAGCCCAGAGCTGGTGACCTGGGACCCCAGGAAACTGTCCCGGTTCTGGCCTCCTCCGTGTACTCGGTCCTTCTGCCTTGACATGCTGCCTCTCTCTCAGCTCCCTGAAGAAGCCCGGTCTTGCTCCAAACCATCAGCTGAGAGCGAGCCAGGGAAGGGGTATCAAGGGGGTAGGAGGTAGGGGTGCCCCAAGAAAGCCACGCAAGTGGGACAGGGGAGGGGAGGGGAGGGGGCTTCCAGGGCTGGCCAGTGTCGTCTGTACTCAGACGACAGACTGCAAGACTCGCTCCCTCCTCCCAAGGCCTGTGGCTCAGACCTTGAAGACCCGCGGCCGCTACACAGGGCTTCCTGTGCCCCAGAGACCCCAGCTGCAGTCTGGCCTGCAGCTGCCAGGACCCTGCGCCCCTGGATCCCCCTTCGCCCGGCTTGGCGGTGAGTGAGAGCCTTCCCTCCAGAACCAGGCGCAGAGCCCGGCGGGCCTCCGCTGGAGACGGGAGAGGGCTGCAAAAAGCCACATTTGAAAAATAAGCCTATTCTTTTAAAACCCACTTTATTTCGAGCTGCGGTATGGAAAGGCCGTGGGCCTGTAACCCCAGGTCTGTCCAGGAGTGTCCTCACCACACCCTCCGAGTCAAAGGGTTTAGGTCCCGGCAACAATTTCCAGGACAGCGTCCTGTCCCCTCTGCTGGGCGCTGGGCGGTGGGTGTGCTTGGGGCCCTGAAGGAATCTAAATGCAGACAGACCCCGGCCCTGGAACACCTCAGGCCTCCAGACCCACTTCCGCTGCACGTGAACCGTGCGTTTGCTTCCTCTAAGTAAAAGGCTGTGCTAGGTGTTCCGGCCCCTCCCCCATCTGTCACCCACACCTGTCCTGGTCTTCAGGCCTGCGGGCCGGGGGAGGGGCTCTGATCTCCTCTCCACGGTCAGCCTCAGTTTTTCCAGCTCGGTGCCTGACCGGGGCCTGTGCCCGAGCCTCCAGCAGGGACCACGTGCTTTGCTCCACTGAGGGGGCTCCAACCTCTGCTGCCGGGACCGGCCTGACCCTCGACATTGGCCATGGAGTCCCTGCAGCTCTGACTCTGCCTGACCTCCTGAGGCCCACTGCAGACTGCCCGATGGTGGACACGGCGGAACTAGCCCTGAGTTGGCTACAGACAGACAACAGAGGAGTCTGCCCCGCCTGGGTGCTTCTGTGGGCAAACTCCGGCGCTTTTCAAAGTGCCCCATCTCCTGAAGGAAGGCCACGCCGTGAAGAGGGGGACACCCAGGGCTCTGGGTGAGAACGCACCACCGGAAGCAGCAGCTGGAGTGAGAGCAGGTTCGATTTCCACCTGCGGGGCCGTGGTCGCTCACACTGACCCCAGGAATCCTAGGCAGCCACGGGGCTGCTCATGGGCCCATTTCACAGACCAGGAGACCCAGGTCTTGTGGGGCAGCTCGACAGAGTGGAGCCTTGAGAGGCTATAAAAATTGCCACCAGCCCCCCCTCACCTAGGACTGGGTGAGCCAGGAGGGTCCACCCTGGGCTCGTGTCACCTCCCTCTGGACCCCTCTGGGCTCCTGGCTCCCTGCTGCTGCCCGGCAGACTCGGGGAGAAAGGGGCTGAGGAGGAAGGCCCCTCCAGCGGGAGGGCAGAGGCGCACAGGCTCGCTCTCGCCCTCACTGTGGGACCTCGGGGGAGACCCAAGGACGCAGGGTGGTCTGGGGAGTCTTGTGGTTCCTTGGGATTCTGCTTTTCTTTTCCTGACTCCCAAAGTCCCAGATCCTTCTTCACCCAGGGGTCCCGCCTGCTCCACTCCAGGGCTACGCACAGCGAACAGCCAGGCTGCGCTTGGCAGGTTGGTTCCCCTCGGCATCTTTTCCTCGGAGGCCAAGAGCTGGGCAGACCCAGAGCTCCGGCTGCCGCCCAGGATGGCTTTGTCCCTAAAACCTGCCTAGCGCCCTCGCCCTGACCCTGGCGGCGTCCCCGGCTCCCTCCCAATCCGGCACCACATCCCCCCGCACAGACCTGAGTCCCCAGAACAGGTCAAATCAGTTAAGGCGCTTCCTCCTCACCCGCCCTGGGGCGCTCTGGAGAGGGGAGCAGGTCACTTCGAAGTCGAGCTCCTTCTAAACGCACCTTTCTCTCTCTGCCCGGCATCCAACACCACAAACCCTTGCCCCCAAACCGATCTGAGGGAGCAGGGGGCAGCTGTCCAGAGCCGCGGGCCAGAGCCCCCCCGGTGCAAAGACTGGTCCAGAGGCTGCCCGCCCACCCCTCCGGGCCAGCACCCTCCCTCCAGTGCTGAGGAGAGCCCCGAGTCAGAGCCAGTGCCCCCTCACATCTCCAATCCATCGGGGACTGGGTTCAGGGCCGGTCCCAAACCCTAGGGTCCAACAGCTTCCTCCCAGACGCTCCCGGAGCTCCAACCTCAAGCTCACCGCTGCGGGTGCGCAGGCCACCCCGAGACCAGTGCTCCAGGCCTGGCCTGGGGCCTGCAGCAGACTCAGGGTCGGGCACTTCGGGGCCTGGACTCCCTTTCCAGGGCTAGAACACACAGACGTAGAACGCAGAAGCCTGTGTGCTCTCAACTTCCTAATTTTTAGCAGGTTTTCCTGGAAATCCACCACACAACAATGGCTTGCAATTAGCCCTCTTTCTCCAGACCTCCCTTCCTAAGTGACTTCTGGCTTATTTGAAATCACTGGCGACTGATCATACAGCCTTCGGGTCTTTTCTTTGTATGTTTTTATTTCCAGTGGGGGCAGGGGAGGTGGGTGTCCCGGCAGGGTTCACACCTGCCTGTAGGTCCCATAAACAAACAGCTCTGCTGAGGGGGGGCACACCAGTTACCACCGGGCCTTCCCGGGTAGGGAGGATCCGGCCAGTGTAAAGTCTAATTCTCTTTTACTTTTCACTGAAACTAAAGCTGCAGAGGAATCATCTTTGCTTCTAGCGTGGCAGAGACACCCTTGGTTGGACAAACAGTCACCCCTGGCCATCAACTCCTCGCTTGGTCAGGGTCCGGAAGGGAAGGAACCCCTTCCCGGGCTCTGGCGGGCCGGGCTCTGGCGGGCGGCCACAGGCTGCTGCCACCAGGAGGAAATCGCCCTGTGGCCCGAACAGCCCAGCTGGGAGACACCGGTGAGGCCAGGCCCCCTGAACTCCCCTCCAGCCACGCTGTGGGGAAGCTGGAGGTCGCAGTGCCACACAGTCCCCGCCGCTCCCCCCGGGAGACAGCTCGAAGTGCGGCTGCAGACCCCGAGACCTCGTAATAGGCCCGCACTGCAGACCAAAACGAGCTGGGCTTGCAGGCCGCCTGCAGGGCTGCCTCCATGGGGGAGCCACAGCCTGGCCAGGCACAACCGTCCCTGCACGCGGACCCTCTAGCCTGCTGCTGAGGTTGTCTCCCTGCTCCTGCTCTGGCTTTTGGGGCTCTGGGGCCAGCCCGCCATGAAGAGGTCTTGGGGCACCCATCAAGCCCAGTGCCAGATTCTCTGGCACTAGGCCTCAGCGATTCCCACAGAGAACAGAGTCACTACAGGGGGCTTAGTTCGGGGACACCCAGACACTGAAAGCAAATGCAGCGTGACCCGGCCTCCCCCAGTCCTGTGCTGCCCCACCTGGCTGCCCCAGACCCCCGCCATTTCTTACCACTGCGAGTCTGCTGGACCCGAGGGTCCTGGAGACCCTTGCCCACCATGGCACCTGCCCCTCTGGGTTCTTAATTCCAGTGTGGGGCCGGGGAGACTGCGCTTAGGCCGGCCGCCTGCCATTTTCACATTAATCGCTCCTTCCGGGTCTGGTCTCAAAACTGGCCCTCTCTCTCGAGCTGACCGCCCGAGTCCGGCCCCAGGGAAGGGGAGCGGAGGAGAGGCGGCCTGGGAGACCCAAGTCTGAAGCCCGGCGGGTCAAGCGCCCTGCGGGGCGCTGGGGCCTGCAGGCCCGGGCCTCGGCGGGAGCCGCGAGTGCCCTTCACTCCCCTCCCGGGCGCACATGCCCCGCCCCACGCCACAGGAGAGAGAAATGGAAGGAGAACGTAGAAGAGGGAGAGTTAAACGAAGAAAGAAAAGAAGGAAGGGAGAGAAAGAAAGTTGGAGGGAATGAAATAACACGATCGTAGATCCGTTCTTGGTGCGCCCCAGCCCAGCCTTGGACCAGGACAAGGTCCGGTCTCTGGGGCTCCAGGGCCCTGGCCCCTCTCTCCAGCGGGAGCCAAAGCCCCGGGAGCGGCCTCCCCAAGATGCCCTGGGCGGATGGGGTGGCCCCTCCGGACCAGCCCGGGTCAAGGCCGCCCGGCCTCCCAGCGCCCCGCTACCCACCGCGGCCTCACCTTCGGGAAAGACCGCGCGCATCTTCAGGTAGCTGGTGGTGAGTCGGATGATGGACGCCTTGTCCAGCTGCGAGGTGATGGCCGACGGCAGCGGCAGCAGCTTGGCCAGCTCGTAAAACTCGCCATTTTCCTTCTCCCTCCGGGTCTTGGCCGCATTCTTGGACTTCTCCTTCATCGCGCCTCGGCTCCGGGCATATTAGACCCGGCCGTGCTCAGGCCCGCGGAGCCCCGCTCGGGCTGTAGCGGCGGCGGTGGGGCAGGAGGCGCCGGGGGCCAGGTGAGTCTGGGCCGCCGACCGCGGGCAGGTGCGCGGGGCCGCCCTGGGCACCGAGACGCGTCTCCACCGCCGCGGCCCGAGAGTCCGGTGCAGCCCGCCGCCGCCGCCCGGGCGCAGCCTCCTCCGAGCTCGACAGTCCCGCGGCGACCGGAGCCTCGGCTTCCCACTGGCTTCTCGTTCTTCCTTCCTCTCTGCTTCCTCCCGCGCCTCGGCTTTCCGTAGGGGATGGAGAGGGGCCGGCAAGGAGGCGGTGGTGCGATTTAGTCCGTGACCGAGTGCTCGTGTCCGCTGCCCCGAGGCCCCTCCGGGCTGGAGGGCAGCAAAGGCGGCGGCGGCCGCGGAGCCATGGAGCGGGAGGCGAGCAGAGGGGAGCGGGGCGTAGGCGGCTGCGGCCCGGCCCGGGCGCGCTCTCCTGCCCTCCCTGTCGGCTTCCTGCGCCCGGAGACACTGCGCCCGGAGCCCGCGATCTGTCGCGGGGCGCAGCAGCTCCGCGGTCCACGTGCGACCGAGCTGCGTTTGTTTATGGCGGACCCGCCTTCGGGCGGAGCACTGGGCCGCCGCGGCCTGGGGAGGGGGAGTCCGGGGGGAGGGACCGCGGCGGGGGCGGGGGCGGGGGCGGCGAACCTCGCCTCCCGACTCCGCCGCGGCCCCGGAGTCGCGGGCGCGCCTCCGCGTCACGGCCTCCAGGGACTCTCCCAGGGGAGACCGGCGCGCGCCCGGCCGAGGGAGACGCGGTGAGTGCTCCGGGTGCGCCGCGGGGACTGGCGAGCGGGCCGCGGGACCCGGGCGCTCCGAACGGCGGCGGGGAGGAGCGAAGGGGGGAGGAGGGCGAGTGCCACGAGCTCCTCGGTGGCAGGGGAGGCGGCGCGACCCTCCGGCCGAGTGCCCGGCTGGGGCAGACCGAATCTTCTGAGCCCACGGTGGTCCCGCGCTTCTCCCCTTGCACTTCGCAGGTTCCGGACCCCCATGGGGGTGGGGGACGGAAACGAAGGACAGCGCCCCCCCCACACACACACCTCAGGAAAGGGCGCGTGAAAGGCTGGGAAGCGACCCTTCTGCCCTTTCTCTCCTTGAAACACTGGAGCGAAAGGAGACCGGCGTCTTACCCGGAGAGGCGGAGGCCGCGGGCACGCGCGGGCCGCGCGAAGGGAGTAGGTCCGGGAGCCGAGCCTGGAGTCCACGCCTCGCGTAGGGCGGCGCAGGGAACGGGGCCCGCAGCCGGTCTCCTGCAGCCCGACCCAGGGCAGCGCGAATCTGGGGGAATCGTGGCTGCGGCGGAAGCTTCCGGCCTCGGAGCAAGGAGCACCGGGCGGCATGGGTGGAGGCCAAGGCGGTGGGGCAGGCGGAGGTCGGAATAGGGAGTCGCAGTTGGAGACGCAGCCATAGGTGTCCCTGCCGTGCCCCTCAGGGCCGCGCTGGCCCGAAAGAATCCTCCGGTCCCCCCACCGCCGTTCCCCCCGCCCGCGCTCCGGTGCCTGCAGCCAGGGACCCTGCTGACATCCCGGTTGCACAAGCCCCCACCTCTTCTAGGGCTCCGAATCCTCCGGTTGCCGCGCAGACCTGCGCTCTAGGAGGACCGAAGCTTCCCGCCCGCGCAGGGTCAGGGGGCAGCCTCAGCTGGACGCAGGGCTCGGCGCTCGGGGGATCCCTTGGCGAGTAGGGCTGTGGAGCTGTGGGGCGCCTGATTTGGGGGGCTGCTGCGAGGAGGTGAGAAGCCCGTGGCCGCCCGCCCGGGGCTAAGATCTCCGTCTCTGGTGCCACCTCACCTTCGCGTCCCGGGAGATGACTGAGGCGCAGCGGACTCGCCACTTGGCGGGGATGCGGGCCCCTCCTGCCTCCCCTGTGCCTGGAAGGCCCAGTCGGCGACCCCCTCTTCGGTCGCAGGCGCTCCTGACCTTTCTCAAGGATCCCTCTGAAGGTCACAGGCTCTTCATCGGAGGGGTGCGTCGTAGCTCCCAGGGTGGGCGGGACGGTGCGGAGACCCCGACGCGGCCCCCATCTGGCCCCTCACCTTGAAGTCTTGGCCTTGGTTCGCCCCGCCGGTGTTCGGAAAACACGAGGCCGAGCGAGTCTCGGAGCTGGTGGCTCCCGCCAAACGCCGGGCGCACCGAGGAGCCGGGATTTTCCCTTGGGGTTTCGGATTCGGGAACGTTTCCCGTTTCCGGCACTGGGCGAAGAGCGCCGGGGCCGCGCGCGAGCGTCGCGGGTAGGTGGTGCCCAAACGCAGCGTCGCAGTTCGGCTTCCCCGCTCGGAAACCCGCGCGGGGCTGCGTGAACAACTGTCGGCTCGGGGCTGCCCGGAGAAGGGGCTCCAAGGGGGCAGGGACTGCTGGCGGGGCCGGGCCGCAGCTGGCGTAGGCGGCCGGGAGGGCGCTCCTGCGCCAGCCTTGCATCGGGAGGGTTTAACGCCCCCTCACCCCTGCGATTTCCGATCCTCAATTACGGACCCGGGAGAATTCCTCCCGGGCTTGAAAGGGATTACCCAGATCGCAGAAACATGGCTAAGTGGAAGTGGGAGAAGCCCGACGAGTAACAGGAACAGAAACTTTTCTCAAACCCAATTTCCCGGATTTTACGGGAAAGCGTACTCGAGAGCTCGCTACCGGGTTTTCACGGTGGCAGCCGCTGTTGCCGCGCGGGCAAGACAGGCGCGACCCGCGTGGTTTGAGAGGGGCACACGGCGTGTTTGGAGACTCGCAGATGTGTGTGTAGGACACGCTCGGGCCCAAAGCCCGCCCCAGCAGATGCCCGAGCGGGCATGGTGCGCCTCCCACCCCAGCGCGTTCGTTCAACGCGCGCCCGCAGCGGCGGCCTGGTTTCCACCGCACCGCCAAAGCACCCAACGCCCGTGGGCGCAGACCTCGAAGTTTCCCAGGTGGGGAGGATCGTGCTGTCTGCGTGGAGTAGCAAAGAGCCCCACCCTCACCCGCACCCCCCGCTCCTGATTAGGGCTTTATCCCGGCTCTCTCTGCCTGGGACCAGGACACTTGGGACCAACACCACAGGCGAAAAGCTCGGTGTAAACTGGGAAAAGCACTGACCACGTGCTATTCGGAGTGATCAGGAAGATTGTTGGTGACCTCCGTTTGGGACACCTGCTGCGTGTCCCTCCTTCCTGGGCTCTTTGTGTGGAGAGAACCTCACTCCTGGTCTGTGCTTTTGGCCTAAAGCCGGGTACTGCCCGGCGCAAGGAGACCGTCCTTTGGAGACCCAGTGGAGAGGTTTGGAGGCGAAGACTGATATCCCGAATCTGGGGCATCACCCGGGACCAACAAGAGTCCGCAGAATCTGGAATGGTGGGACACTGGGGGGCGGGAGGAGGAGGAGTGGGAAGAGGGTTCCGACCCACCGACGGCCAGAGCTTCCAGCACCCGGCCTGCTTGCAGGCCCCCCCCGCCCGCAGGTCCTGCTGCCTGCGTTTGGGGGCGCCCAGGGGCACTCCAGGGCGCCTCTTAGAAATTTTCCATTAGGAAACTGATCTGGAAGAAATTGAGGCTCCGAGAGGAAAGGGGAGGGCCCGGGCCGCCCCACATCTGCTTGGATTTTCCGCTTCAGATGCTCCGCAACTGTTCTTCCCCATGCCGTGCCCGGCCTACCTGAGGCCCATCCCCCGCGGAAACCGGCTTTCCCGTCAGATCAAGGGGGAAACGCGCAGATGTTGCCGCGGGGTGGGCTCCTGGAGCGGCTGTTGAAGTGGCAGCAGAAGGGATCAGAGACTTGGTCACCAAGGATGTGGGGGTGGGGGAGGGGCTTCTTCCATACCTGGCAGGAGTGGGGGGGGGGGCCGGTTCGAACCTCAGAAGTGGCCTTGAAGGAGAAATTCAACCGCTGGTGCAAACCCAGGCAACAGAAAATCCAGGGCCGCTGAGATTCGAACCTATTCGATCCCCAAGCCCTGGGCTACACAGATGTGGTTCCTGCAGGAATCCTGCTCCCGTCCAGCACCATGTCCGCGACTATCCGTGGTGCAGAACCTGTTTTTAGTGTGACCTCTCCCAGGCGCCTCGGAGTCTCACTGCTTTCCCCAAGTAAGCCCCCTGTGGACGTCACCAACTTCCCCTTCTGTTCCTCCCAGAAGAGATCAGACAACACCATTGCTATTCTTTGTGAAAAGTAAGGATGGGCAGGCAGAGTGGTTTCCTAATGATTCGTTCCTCCTGAGGTCAGGACAGTGAGGAGCGGAGTTATCTTGCTGTTGCTTTGTCTTAAATAAACTCTCTCTCTGGATGTCACTCCGTTGGTGGTGTTTGCTTTCGGTTGCAGGCAGCTCTTTGATGATATGGTGCTGTGGCCATAACTAGAGTAAGATCCACCTTCGTGCCCTGGGCCCCAGGACCCTTAGTACCGCCACAGCCTTTGGCCTTGGCAGGGGTGCCCCGGCCTGGCTGGGGGTGGGGGTGGCAGGCAAGGGAAGGAGGCACCCCAGGGTGCCTGCTGGAGGCCGATTCTGTTCTCTGGGATTCCAAAGAGTGTCGTCCTTCTCTCGGACTCGATTGTCCAGCACCTTTCTGGGTCTGGGACTGGGGGCTCGCCTGGCTGCACCCCGTTTGAAGGCCCGGGTAGCTGCCGCCGAATTCTCTCCCTCCCTCAAGGTGATGCATTTAGGGAAACAAAAAGTTAGTGCCACTGGTAATCGATTATAGTGATTTGCAAAGTCCCTGAGCCAGGGCCACACAGAGCCACCAAAGCCACCTTGGTTTGGGGTTAAAGGTGGGGGCAACTTTTTTCTAATTTCCCCTGGGGGTGAGGAGGTAGTCCTTTCCTCTTCATTTTCCTTCCCCACCTCCTAAGCCCGGCCCAGCTTTCTCCCCCAACTGTGAGGAGGAGCCCAGGGGCTTCGAAGCGCCCCTCTCGAAGTCCCAAAGTACAAAGACAGCCAGTGGCCTCTGGGGAGGGCGGTAATCCCGCTAGAGCGTAGGCAGCGCCCCAGCGTAGGATCTGCGCCCAGGGACCGGCTGGGGATCCGTTGCGGCCCAGAGCAGGGAGACGCCAGCGTCCAGTGCTGACCTCCTGCCACCCTTCCACGACCAGGCCTCGTGGAGGCACGAAGGTTGAGCGGGGGTGGGGGTGAGGGTGGGGAGGTTTCTCTGCCCGGCTTAACAGAAACGTCGCCTCAAAATCCCGATTTCGGGAGAGGCCCCGCATCCGTTCCCTTCAAAGCCACACATTTCGCCTCCAGCGGGCCGGGGCTGTCCAGCAGTGGTAGGCGTCTGGTGCGCGCTGACATTACCAAGCGGTTTTATCCATTACACACCGCCCTGAAATCTGAAAACCACCTAGTTTATTAACGATGGCGCTAAAACCGCTTTTCCAAAACACCAACCCCCAAAGCTCTTTAAAAAACAAAACCTACCCACCAGAAACAAATATTTTTGCCCATCAAAGAAAGCACAAACACGATGGACCCACGGTTTTTCTTTTTCTAGCAGGTGATAATAGTATTAGCCAACCCTTAAGGCTGATTATAATATGGGACTATTGCAGGACCTGAAGGACTGAAACTCGTTTCATTAACGTAA